CGGATGAAGCCAAACTAAAAACATCCTGTGAAGTGAAGATTTCACCAGAACTCGAATTTAGGGCTGTTTAAAGCCTTGCTCATCACTGTGGGTGCAAAGGTGACTCGGATCCAGTTTCCAGGCAAAGCCAGGGCAGTCATCCCACACTGTCCCATCCCTGGGTATGGACTCATCCCTGAGGCTCCGAGAGCTCCAGCAATGCAGATTGCCAGGGACAACATCCAACTGTCCCTTGGATCTCACTTGGGACTTTGCAAACAGCACTTGGGCACCAAATCATCCCTGAGAAGCTTTCCTTGATTCATCATGCAGTGCCACCGTGGGATCCTGGCAGACTGCGACAAAAAATTGCCACAAATCCCTCTCCTTTCTCTCCCATCATGAGAGCTCTGCCCACCCATCCAGGAACAGCCCCTAAATCTGAGTCTCTGCTTGGAAAAAGCAAAAATTCGTGCGCATGGCTCTGGGCTCCGGGAAACGGGAATTTCCAGTCTGAGGTGCCCGGGAGTGACAGGACAAGGGGGAATGGCTTCCCCTTGCCAGAGGGTAAGGTCATTTGGGATAATGGGAAGTAATTCCTGGCTGTGAGGGTGGGGAGGCCCTGGAAGGGGTTTTCCAGAGAAGATGTGGTTGTCCCATCCCTGGGAGTGTCTGGGGCTGGGTTGGACGAGGATTGGAACAACCTGGGGTAGTGGAAGGTGTCCCTGCCCATGGCAGGGAGTGGGGCTGGATTATCTTTAAGTCCTTTTCCAAATCAAACCATTCTGGGATTCTGTGCTCCTAAATTATTGCTGGTAGATTTTGTATGAGTTGTCTGCAGGAAGAGACATGGACATAAAGTTTCATCTCCAGCAGGGAGATCCAACAGCAATATTTTATCCCTGGAAAATGCAATTTAGTTCATGCCTGTAGTGAAACCCCCTTAAAAATGATCTCAAATTGAGATGTGACCTGCTCCAGGCTTCCCACACAGATCAGGGACACCAAAGATATCCAGCTGAAGCAAACACCAAATATGAGCTCAATTTGTTGCTAAAACCCAAGGATGGAGTTTCCAAGACAAGCAGTGTCTCCCCTGAATTTCTTGGCAGAGATCCCTACTCCTGCAGAAAAGCTTGGGAGCCAGATCTCCATATTTTTTGGAGAGGCAGCAGCAGATATTTGATGAGCTCTATGAATAGAGTTGTTGATTCACTGCAAAACACAGGAAAAACTGGGGAGAAAACAAATCAAGTCAATTTAAACTGCTGACACATTCCTGGGTTGAGGAGGGAGCTGTAAGAAGTGTTTTGAAGCAAGGCAGTCACTTGGTAGCCCCCACAGCAGAATGAATTTCTGATTTGACCCTAAGTATAGTCAGAACAAAATTACCAAGTGTGATTTAAGAACTAACAAACCCCCTTTTTGAAAAAGTTCTGGAAATATTGAGCATGATTTTCAATGAAGAAAATGCAAATACAATCCATTCAACATATCCTATTGAATTAAAATATTTAAATATTTTGATTGAAGAATTTATCCTTCCTCTTGTGCTGGGGAACTGGAGAACAACAAAATTAAATCATGGTTCAACTTTCCACTCCAATTTTGCTAAGGAGTGTGGATGCCCAGAGGTTTGGCCAAAGAGATGCTTCAAATGCCAGAAAATTCAGAGAACTGAGTGCCTTTTCAGCATTGAGGAGGCTTTTAAAAACCTGTATTTACAAGAAATTATTCTGTTTGTGGGGTTTTGTTGTGACATCAAAGATCAACAGCATGGAAGGAACCAAAGCTCAGTGTTTGAGCTGGAATTCACAACCCCCCAGGGTCCCTGAGCAGGAACTCTTGAGCTGTGATAACCCACCTCACCTTAAAAACGAGTTCTGCAGGGTGATTAATTTGCTCTGGAATTATTTACTTGTCTAAATGTCAGCCAAAGATTTTGTGTTCTTAAAAAAAAAAACCAACAACTTCTTTTCAGTGACACTTTTCAGCAGAAAGACTTTGCAGGTGCTGCCAGCACAGTTACAAAGGCTTTTCACAAGCTCCTTTTAACACATTTTACCAAAAATTCCTCTTTCGGTGCCTTCCATGTGTGTGAGCACAGAGCAGAGCTGAGGGGCTTGAAATTTCAGCTTTGACTTTCTCTTATTTTTCCCTTTAAATGTGAACTTCTTACATTTCTGGTGCTCATTTGTGACATAATTAAAACACCTCTCCCGTGTACATTCTTGGAGTTGTTACAGCAGGTTCTGCACCTTGGTGTCACCATCTCCAGGAATATTCCCAAATGTGTTCCAGGTGAGTGCCAGAGTCAAAAGATAAAGGAATCTTCCCCATCCTGTTGGATGTTCATGCCCACATTACAGTATCATTAATTACTTTGCTTTGCTATAATTAGATCCTGTCTGAGGCCAGTATATAAAGGCCACCAGGCAGCAGGAAAAAAAAAATTAAAAAATACATAAAATCTCATTAACCACTAAAGCCACTGGTGGGAAGATCCACTCTGAGGAATGAAGTTTATCCTCTTTTCCTCCTCCTTTAGCTCCTCACGGACCCCTGAACACAATCAGGGTTGTTCTCCTGCTGATCCCACACTCAGGAGATCTCGTGGCTGCTGAAGCCCCACCAGCACAGGACCATCCCCTGTGTGCCAGGCTCCAGGGAGCTGTGCTCCATGAAATCCTCAGGGAGCAGGTCCTGGCTGAAGGCACTGCTGGTGACCCAGCTTTTCCCCTGTGTTTTAAGGATAATGATCTCCTGAGCAGCAAAACCAGTCGGGCCAGACGCTGCCCAGCCACCCGAGAGGGCTCCAGGGAGGTTGTTTGCACAGAGCTGTGACAGCGGGGCATGAAAGGAGGTTAAAGATGTTTTATTGAGCTTAGATTTGCCACCCCTCAACCTCAGCAGGTTTATTTCCCTTCTCTTTGTATCCTGGGAGGCTGTAGATAACGTCAGTGCTTCCCAGGAGGTTGCTCTTGCAGCCACACAGTAAATGTGGGGTTGGATGTGGGATGCAAGGGGTGTTTCCAATGGTCTGAAAGTTGTGGGTTTGTTTGATTTTTTACTGAAAATTAAATAAAGGTGAACTTCCATTCATCAATATTTGAATGAAAAAGGAATATTCATTTAGACCTCACAAATAGAAAATTAAGAAGGATGAAGAGGGCAGGAGCAGAGACCACTCAACTTGGCTCCCAGAGCTCTCATAGGAATGGACATTCCTGATTTGGGGGTCTTCCAGGTCAACAGAAAATATTAATTCAGCAGCCTGAAAATTAAGTTTTCTACATTTCTAAGAATTTAACTCAATCAACACACTGAGAAGTCATTCAATTTCTGCTCTTCCATAGCTTTGGGCTCCCAGCTGCAAAGAAATAATTCTCCACACTCGAGGTTATTGAGAAATTGTTTTATTAAAACTCTGCCAGAAGATGAAAATAAATGTAAGGGTTGCTGAGAGCACTGGGATGAGCTGCCAGGGAACTGCCAGGACACAGAGGGACCTTCCACAAAGGGTCCCAAAAAACTTAACCAGGCCCCAGGCTTTAATCTGTGAGATTTTGGGAAATTCAGGTGGTGATACGGGAACCAGAAAAAAGGGCCACTCTAAGTTTCCAGAATTTCCAGCATGTGGAGGATATTGGATGGTTTGGCAGTGTGCAGATTCCCAAAACAATTGTGCAAATCCTCTCCAGGTGTCAGAGCATGGGATGAGCCACGAGGAGCACCCAGCCCAAAGCTGACCCACTGCCTGACAAACCAGCAATGACCAAAATGTAACACAAAATAACCCCAAGGAAGCAGAAACTGGAGGAAGTGGGGTGAATCAGGATTGGGGTGTGGTGGAGGAACCTTCATGCTGCTCCTTGGTGTCACCAAGTCATTGAGTCCCCCCACATGTATCCACAGACCTGACAAAAACTTCAACAGGCTTTTTGCCCTCTCTCATTGAAACAGTAACAAAAGCAAGAAATATGATGGTTCTGAAGTCAGGTTTTGGAGTGTTAAAAGTGCTTTTCTTGGCTGGGTGCTGCAAGGGAGGCGCATGGTCCCCATGATGCCATCAAGATGTGCAAGGTCCCAGTGCCATCAAGCAAGGTGTGCATGATCTTTACATTATTAGATAAGGTGTGCATATTGTCCTTATATAAATGCACAAAGTGTGCCTGGTCCCTGTGCTCCACACAAGGTATGCAGGGTCCCTGTGCCATCAAAGCAGTCCTTGTGCCACCGTGCAAGAGGATCCTGGTCCTTGTGCTTCCAGGTGAGGTGTGAATGGTTATTCCATCACTGTGCAAGGTGCAACCGGTCCTTGTGCTGCCATCCAAGGTGGGCATGGTCCCTGTGCCAGCAGAAATGGTGTGAGTGGTCCCTGTGTCATTAGGAATGGTGTGTGTGGTCCCTGTGCTGCCATCCAAGGTGTGCATGGTCCCTGTGCCAGCAGAAATGGTGTGAGTGGTCCCTGTGCCATCAGGAATGGTGTGAGTGGTCCCTGTGCCAGCAGAAATGGTGTGAGTTGTCCCTGTGCCATCAGGAATGGTGTGAGTGGTCCCTGTGCCAGCAGAAATGGTGTGAGTTGTCCCTGTGCCATCAGGAATGGTGTGAGTGGTCCCTGTGCCATCAGGAATGGTGTGAGTGGTCCCTGTGCCATCAGGGAAGGTGTGCATGGTCCCTGTGTCATTGGAATAGTGTGTGTGGTCCCTGTGCTGCCATTCAAGGTGTGCATGGTCCCTGTGCCATCAGGAATGGTGTGAGTGGTCCCTGTGCCATCAGGGAAGGTGTGTGTGACCCCCATGCTGCCATGTGCGGTGTGCATGGTCCCTCCATCCCTGAGCAAGTCGTGCATGGCCCTCACACCATTTCACAAGTTACACATGGTCCTCGCACTGTCACACGAGGTGCCCACGTCCCTGCCCCGCTGTTGGGGGAGCACAGGGCATCCTCCCTGCCACACTCCGTATCTCGCCCGGTGCGGGGTGAACCCGAGCGCTGCTGCGATGTCCCGCAGCCCCGGCTCAGGGCAGGCAGGGCCAGCAGGGGCAGAGGCCGAGAGCCGCGGTCAGCAGGGCCGAGAGCCGCGACGGCCGCTGGTACCTGCGGGCTCTCCTCACGCCGCCGCCCGGCTGTGCGGCACAGTCGCGGGTGCGCAGGACGTGGAGCTCCACGCTGTCGGCAGCGCCGTGCTGCTGGGCCAGCAGCTCCTCCAGCTGCACGAACAGCCCGCGGAGCTCCAGCATCTGCGCCTCCAGCTCCAGCAGCTGCCGCTGCCGAGCCTGGGCCACGCACAGGTGGTGCTTGGCCTTCAGCTCCTCCAGGTCGCGGCCGACGATGCGAGGCCCCTGGGGGCTGTCGGCCAGCACATCCACGTCCTCAGCGCCCAGGGTGATGCCCGCCAGCTCCGCCTGCCTCTGGATCTGCTCCTTCAGCCGGTGCCGGTAGCGGCTCTCCCGCGCGTAGTGGCGGGCGAGGACGGTGCCGTAGCGGCGCAGCAGCAGCCACAGTTGGGTCTGGCGGACGCGGGGCCCCGCTCGCCCCGAGCCCCCGACCGGGGCCGCCGGCAGCGCTCCCAGCCGGGGCTGCAGGGCCGCGGCCTGGCGGGCGAAGGCGGCCCGGGCTGCGCCGAGGCCGCTCTTGTGGCGGGCGATGCTCTCCTCCGAGGTGCAGCACAGCACCGACTGCTGCGTCCTGTCGATGCTCTCCGAGAGCTGCTCCAGCCGCTCCAGCGCCCGCCACAGCTCGGCCGCCTCCCGCAGCGCCCGGCCCACGGGGCTGCCGTCGTCCCCGCCGGGCGCGGGGCTGTGGGAGCGCACGGAGCCGTCGTCGTGGTGCGGGTCCCCCTCGGCCGCCGCTCGCCGCTGCAGCTCCGCCAGCCGGTCCCTCATGCTCCGCGCGGCTCCGGCACCGTCCGCGGGGACGTGTGAGGCCGGAGCTGCCGCGGGAGCGCCGCGAGCCTTCCCTGCAAATATTGATGGAGGGAGGAGGGCAGGTCCTGCGTCAGCCCCGGGCCGGCGAGGGAAGGGCCCGTCCCGGGCAGAGCGGGAGCGGTGCCAGCACCGCCGCACCTGCGCCACGGGACGGGCTCCGGCTCCTCGCCTGACCCGCCGAGCCTCGGCACGAACACGCTTTTATTCACCCAGTGTCCTGGTTCAGGTCAAATTTGGGGAAAGAACCTTAAAAGGGTTTTTTTTTAGGAAAGCAGATTCAATTGGCCCCTTCCTCCCCAACCAGTTCGGGAAGGATACTTCTTTGGAGGAAAGTGGAAAAAACCTGTTTATTAAACAAGCAATTTTAAACAATATTAAACAATAAAACTTCTCGCCACTCCAAGAGAGAGACAAACTCAGGAAAAATTTCCTGGGTTGCAGTTGGGCTCACTCAGTCTCTGATCCCGGCCCGCTGGGCCACAGGTGCTGCTGCTGCTGCTCTTCTGGGTGTTCAGTCCAGAGCAGGTCCAGGGAAAGGGAAAAACACTACAGTCCAGGGAATTTCTTCGCCTCAGCTAGCTAAAACTAACTAGGAAAAGAAAAAAGGAGAGCTCTTTTTCTCTCTGTCTGTCCATCCGCAGACGACACAGTCCAGGAGCAGGAATGTGGAGGAGGGAGTGCAGTTCTTGAAAACAAACTCCGTGCTTCTTTCCCCCTCCCTTTCAGTCCTGGAACAAGTCTTAAAGGTGTAGAACTTATTATTTAATATAAACAGAGCAGACGATTGGGGATAAAGGCATCATACAGTCAACCTAGGACACCCAGAAACAAGGACACCCCAAAGTCCCGTCAGACAGGGCACGGAGCGGGTGGCCCACCCGGCACCACGGGCTTTCCAACCGGCTCCGAGCTGCCACCGGTACCGGGGACCCAAACCCAGCTCCCGGCTGTACCAAATTAATGACACAGAGCCACTGGCTGTGCCCAGCCGGCAGGGACCTGCAGGGATCACGGAGCCCAACTCCTGGCCCTGCACAGCAGCATCCCCCAAAATCCCACCCTGGGCCTGAGGCGCTGTGTGAACACTCCTGGAAGCGGCATCAGCCGGTCCGGGGCCGCACGGTGCCTGCGATGTCACCGGCAGCATCCCCCAAAATCCCACCCTGGCCCCGAGGCGCTGTGCAAACACTCCTGGGTGAACTCAAAAAGGTGCTCTTGTCCTTTTCCAGGCTGGAAATGAGCGCTGGCATGACCCAGCTGTCCCAACATCACTGCAAGGCAGTGCTGAGTCCACTCGCTGCTGAAATGCATAAAAATCACAGCTGAATTCTAAGATGTATAAAAAAACACCTTTAAAAAGGTGCTTCTACAAAACGCATTTCCAAAGTGCACGGGAAAAACAGTTGTTCTCTACCACTCTGGTATTTTATAACGTGCATTACCCCATATGACCTAAACATGGTGATATAAAGTATACAACAGCTATAATATCAAATCAATATAATATCGACAGAGGGACAGCCAAGGGAGGTTTAGCAAAGGTCAAGCGGCTCTGAAGGGAGTGGAATTCCTTCCCTCCAATGCCATCTGATGCTACATAAAGGGGGGCTCCTATCTCTGCAAAACAAGTTTAATTTTGGTCTCTGTAACCATCAAGAAAACAAAAAAAGAGAAAAAGCCCTTTTGTCCCTTGGGTTTGGAGGATGAGTGTTGTGTTAAAATGGAGATATTCATTCCCATCAGAGAGGAAATGCCACTGGAATCAGAGCAATAAAGTGAAATGTCAAATAAGTCAGCAGATTAATGAGGGGGAAAGTCAAAACAGAGTGGCAGAATCCCAGAATCACTAATGCTGGAAAAGGCCTCCCAGACCACTGAGTCCAACCTGTGCCCACCTTGTCCCCAGCCCAGGGCTCTGAGTGTCACCTCCAGTCCTTCCTTGTCACCTCCACGGGTGAGGGCTCCTTCCCATGCCTGGCCACCCTGTCCAGGAAGAAATTCCTGCTGAGTTTATTCCATATATTTATTGTCAGCACCTGCACCCGGCCGAGCACGGAGTCCCCCCGGCAGCTCTACAAAAACCCAACCCCATCCACTCCCAAAAATCCCTGTTTAATCAATTTATCACTGCTATTTAACCACGGTGAGGGCAGAGGAGTAATTCCTTGCTTCCCATGAAATATCCCTTAGGAAACAGGTACAACCTTCCCCTGGAGCTGCCACCCCTGAACCCACCTGTGTCCCACAGTGGCCAAGGGACCTCACCCACAGCCTCCTCCTCCTCCTCTGCCCCTTTCATGGCATTTTTAGCCATTTCACAGCACTTTTAGGTATTTTCCCCTTCTTTTTCCAAGAAATAATTAGCTGCTTCTATCCTATTTTCCCAGAAAAATGGGATTTTGGAGCCAGATCAGATGGTGACTGGGGTGAGGGTCTCCATCCCATCCTGCTCAAGACCTTCACAGTGTATAAAAACTTCTCTATCCATTTATAAATAAAGTTTCTGTATCCAGTTTATAAAACTTCCGATTAAAACTATAAAATTATCCAGTTGCATCAAAAAGATATTATTTTTACATTAAAACCACCATTTTACCTACTTTTTTTTTACCTTTTAATGCGTCAGCTACTCAGGAAGCAATGCAAAACCAAAGTAAGAGTTTCTCTTTTTATTTTTTTTATTAAGACAATCCCACAGCTGGAAAATGAAACATCCTAGATTACATCAGTGACTTCAAAAAAACTCTAGAAAAAAATCTTTACAAATTTACATTTGTACAATACAAAAAACTAACAGCTCATTGCATATAAATATTACATTTGGTCTGCCAACATGTGGCATCAAAATCCCTGAAGTATTCATTAAAGGGACCTGAGATAGCGGATGTGAAGATATGGGCATAAATATCACCTGAAAAAAAAATAATATAGAAAGTAGACATAATTCTAATAGTTTTGTGCATTTTTGGAGTATTTTAAATCCAGAACATGACCTGGAGAGCCTAAATAATGTGAATTTTGCTCTGACATCAAGTGGTATTTCTACATGAAATCTGCTCTAATGACTCATGGAGGAATGAAGAGCCTGAATTAGTATTTCTGCAGAAAAATAATCCTCAGACACTGAGTTCTGAACACACCCGAGCAGCCACCACTCTCTGAGGAAGAATTTTAGGAAGAGAAACGGCGGATTTGGATTTTACCTGCGAATATTCCAGCAGGATTTCACCCCCACCCCCCAAACAGCTCCTCACAGACCCCAAACCCAGGAAGATCCGCAGTGCTTGCCAGTGAAAACCCCCAAACCGAGGAACTGCTCCTAATTTCCCACTGGTGGAATTATTTCCCAACTATTTACACGTTTGCCAGATCCCCAGTGTGGCTGCAGTTACTACCAGGAGTAGTAACTCCAAGTGCTTGGTTTGCCCTGGAAGTCTCACAGACTCGGATCAGGTACCCACATCCACACACAAAAATGTATTTCAGCACCATTTTTTAGAACACTAGAGTTAAGGCTGTGACAGCAATTCCCACTGGAAATCTAAATTTTTCAGGGATTCATAGCACAGTTGTGTGAGTCCGCTGTGGGCCGAACACGACGTAGTAAAAATATACAAGCTTCCAACAGGTCTTTGCATTTCTAAGACTAAAAAAACCACAAGTTTTTAGACTAAATTTTGCAGGCTGTTACTTACTGTACATAAAGGAGTTTTTTTACCATGTGTAAACCTCGGATATATTGAAGGGTTGAAAAGTCTCTGTCGCTCATGCGCAGGGATTTGCTATAATACACATTGTAAGAACACAACAACAGCTCCCTACCTATTAAATATAGAGTTAGCCTTGGAGGGTTAACTGCTCCTTCAGGAAATAAACAGTATTTTATAAAATTCTGCAGGATGTTTTTTAAATAAAAAGATAAAATTAAGACATGTAAACACACAAAGACATTTTTTTAACCCATGAAATCCATGACAGGACGCTCCAGATATCAGGACACAACATCCTCAAACCTACAGCTGTTCACTTTTCCCTGGTGTTCACCACTCAAAGATGGAATGAATCAAGTTTTTATCAAAAAAATAGCGATTTACACTGATTTTCTCACGTTAATATTCTGTGACTTGGAGCACAGAGACATTCCCGATAGATCCAAATGCTTTGCAAGGGTCATCTTGGTTTTGGGAGTCAAGAGAGCCTCCAAATATTTAAAATTCTAAATCAATTAAAACCTCTTTGCCACACCCCTGTTGCCAGCTCTTTTTCATGTTCTCTGAACTACTCAGTCCTTCTGCTTCCCCACAGAAGGAGCAGCTGAGATGGACATTGAGGAAAACATTCCAGGAAAATTAAACTATGCAAACTGGACACAGAATTTGAAGCAGCCAAAAATCTTCCAAGAATTATTTCTCCACAATTCTTTTTAGCTTTAGCCTGCAGGGTAGGGATGGTTGGGATTAGGGGGTGGCCTCTGCTTGGCTGATGGAGAACGGAGTGATGGAAAGAGGGAGGAGGGATAAAACTGCCCAAATCCATCCAAATTCAAGCACCAACAGAAAGGTTTGGATTAAACCTAACAGCCTGGCAGGCCAGATGAAATAAAATTCATCACAATATCCAAAGTTTCCAGGAGAATAAATAAATAGCCTATTAAAAAGAAACTACTGGACAGAGGTGGGGCATGGCAAGAGGAAAATAAACTGATGGAGAAAATAAAAAGCAAGTAAAGTTTGAACTGAAAAATGGAATTATTAAGGTTGGAAAAGGCTCCAAGATCATCAAATCCAACCTTCAACCCCATCCCATCAGGGCCACAGGTGCTCAGCTCTTGGGTGGTGACTCTGCCACCTCCCTGGGCAGCCTCTTCCAATGCCTGACCACTCTTTCCATGAAAAAAAATTCCCTAACATCCAAGACAACAGCACCTGACTGCTGCCAAACAAGCTTTGCTATCCATGCTCGGTCTGCAGAGAAAGGGGAGCACTGCAGGGACAGCGGATTGGGGCTGGGAGAAGCAAAGATTTCACACACAAGATTTTTTCAGCCCTGTGGAGAATGGAGTGTGGGGCCTGGGACCTTTCCCAAGGTGTCCCCAAGGGCCCCGAGGTGCCCCAGCAGCTCGGGATTGGGATCTGCCCACGGGAATCTCCAGGGAACAGAGGCACCAGTGCCCAAACACCTGCAGGAACCGAGGAGCTCTGGCCTGCCTGCTCACCCTCAGGAACCCCAGTCACAGTCAGACCTTAAATCCCATTCCTCAGGCAGAGTCTGGAGTTTTTTGGCTGAGGGTACAGCACATTCCTGACTCTGCAGCCTGCCCAGAGCTCAGCAGGGTCTGGAGCAGGGAGATTTTGGATGGTTTAAATCACTTTAAATCCTGCTTCTGCTGCACCTGGTGGGCTCATCCTAAGTTTACCACACCCAAAAGTGGCTCCTGATAGGATTTGGGATTTGAGAGCATCCAAGTTCCTACAAAATGTAATTATTCCACAGAACTATGAGAAATGAACTGCCCAACTCAGAGAAAGAATCCAGATACAAATCCAAACAAAAAGAACAGCTCTAAACCCAAGTTATTTGTCATGCTTATAAAAGGTTCTCATGCACAAAAAAAAAAAAAAAAAAAAAAAAAAAATTTCAATTTGTACAGTAAATTCTGCTGTGCCAGCACCCCCTGCTCTAGCTCCTAGTCATGGGACACAGTAATACTTACGCCACAGCAAAGTGATGCTTCACTGGTATCTTCACAGTACAGAGAAAAGATACAGTTAAGAACATATTTAATCTTACTCTAATTGCTGCTAAAATACACCAACTTATAAAATGATTTCTCTGGAATCCCTGTGGTTTCTCTCTCCCCAACCCCTACACAAAATAAATAAGGAATAAGTGGATTTTCGGCCAGTCAGAAATAGAGGGAAAAAGCATTTCTTTTGCATTTCAAGCTTTTCAGGCTTTAGGATAGAACCCATAGTGTTTACATTAGCTCAGAGGACTGATCTAAGGGATATGATTCCAACTATGGACTGATGCATACATGCTATTCCTGGTTACCATATGTAAAAAAGACCAATCAGTCAAACAAATAATACATTTCTCATAAATATAAATGCGTGTATATATACAGATATATGAGAGAGATGATAGGACAGGTGTTTATACTTTAAAGCCCAACACAGAACTAGGAGAGCCTCTGCACTTGGTTTTTTTCCCACCCCCCCACCAAAAACCAAATCAAGTCTAGCAATGGATTACAGCTGATTCCAACCATTCCTTACAAAATTAAAAGTGTGGGTTTTGTACTGTACCATAAACTCATATTAATGAGCAATTTAGGATATACTCTCCTCCATCACAAAACTAAACCTCTGCTTCTTTTATTTTCAAGTCATTTTGCATCTAACTAGGATTTTTTTTTTTTTTTTGGAAAGCAAGATAAAATAGCTAGTGCTTAATATAGAAAGTCAAAAATTAAATTCCTTCTGCATCTGAGAATATACATGGGTCACTCTTTCCTGCCTGAGGTTTTCCAGAATTATTGACCAAGCTGTGCACAGAAGAACTTCAGGATATTGGATGAAAGCTTAAAAAAACCCTAAAAACCTTGAAAAACTCCACTGGAACTTTGTAGTCTGTTCTGACTTGTTCTCTCTGTAACCTGACAAGGGGAGGAAATTGGAATCCCCCATCTGCTGCAGGCAGAGCCCAGGAAGGAAGGAAGGGGCTGCTCACCTCCAGCTCAGGCCACGCCGAGGTCACCGAGGAGCCGGGGCAGGGATCTCCTCACCAACTGCACTACCACTGCCAGAGGGTTTCAAGTCAGCACTTCCCAGGACAACAAGAGCACAGTGCAACAGGAATTCTCTTCTGGAAGCTTGAGACACAAGAGTCAGTCTGGGGGGGCGACAGCTCCCTCAGCAGCTCCGAGGGGCCAGTGGGCCCAAAGCACATTTCCATGGGGCAGAGGGGGCCAAGCAGGCCCCCTGCACAACCAAATCCCCACCTGCCCCAAACATCTCTGAGAACCACTGCATTTGTTTTCATGGTGGCAACACAAGGAAGATAGAGCTACTCACAACTTCCACCCCTCTACGCTCCTTCTCGCCTCTTCTTCACCATGCTCTGAATAACAGCATCTATTTTCTTTTCAGTTTCCAGTAGTTGTAAATAAGAGGTAGCTGAGCTACTGTTAAAAATCATGCTTTGAAGAGGAGGAACCTTTCAAATGTTGAAGTCACCCCTTTAGCTGCACAATCTCAATTAATACTATAAAAATATGAGAGGACAAAAAGAAAATAGATGCAAGTAACTTTTGCATTTGGCACCTTTTGTCTAGATATTCATACTTCTCAAGTATTCTCTTTTTAATAAAGTTAATGCACACATAGGACACACCACATCAAAGGTTTGCTACATATTTACAAGGCACCAACCCTTTGTCACTGTTTTTACACGGATAAAGAACCGGTAGAAAGCACGTCAGGACCCTCAAAACTGTAGTATGGACATACTTCAGTTCAGCACAATTCCATCAACGTTTGGCCTGGGAAGATTAAAATAATCCAGATCCTTCTTACAATATAGAAACTGTAAACATTTTATAGCTGCCTTTAGGATTGGTGTATTGTGCAAAAGTTATAATTATTACTGTGTCTAAGGATTTATGGCAGAAACCACATAAAAACTCTGTAAGAAGGTGCTATTTCTATAATACAAAAACAAAACGAGGGAGAGAAGTCATAAGCGTGACTCGAAAATGTCATGTTCTTACTGAGAAGCTGGGAGCCTCTGTAATGTGATGAACTCGTAGTGTGTGGGGAAGAATTTCTGTAATTTAAGGCCTAATGACTAAGGCTTGTTTTGACCAATGAAGTGTGGAGATCTGAAGCTTTAAAACAAACACAAACTGACAGGATGGAAAAGCACCACTGTGAAACGTGAGTGGAGTCCCCGCACAACTTGCTTGGTAGAATTTCTGGTAAAATCCCTGCAGTAGAAGGCCATTGAAGTTCTTTTAAAATTGTTCCAAAGTTTTCCATCTGTCAATAATTCCATCCCATGAGATGGCTGACCCTGGCTTTTTCTGTCATTTTCCGCACCCTGCCTGACCTGGAAGTACCAAGGTTCAAAGGATCCTCGGTGTGCACAAAATTGTCATTGTCGGAGTCGTCGTTGTACAGGACAGTCCTCCTGCCCTCGTTCCTGGTTTTGATCCGAGGGGGTCGGCTGAATCTCCCTCCAAACACGTTCTCCCCAAACTGTCCCCCAAAGAGGTTTTCAAACTCGTCGTCGGCGAGCCGGGCGCGTTTTGCTCTGGTGGCTCCTCGCGAGGCCCCTCGGCCTCCTCGGCCTCTCCTTCCTCCCCGGCCGCCGCCTCTTCCTCTGCCGCAGCCTCTTCCCCCTCTGCCCCCTCTTCCCCCTCTGCTCCACCTGCCCCACCTGCCCCACCTGCCCCTCCTCCCTGTCCCTCGGCCCTGCCAATTCCGTTTGCCCCCAGTGAGTTTCCGTTTGATTTTCCGTTTGGGTTTTTTGGATTGCACGACTTTGCTGTAGTCGTGGTCGCCGTCGATGTAATCCTGGTCTGTTCTGGAGGTTGATTCTGAGTCAGAATCAGAGCCGCTTCTGCTTTCAGAGCTGGAGCTGGATCCTGATTCCCCGCTTTCTGATGAAGACAAACCAGACTTTTCCTTTAATTCTCTCTTCTTCTTTTCCTCCTCCTCCTCCTCCGCCTCCTCCAGGTGCTCATCCTCTTCTGAGGCGCTCAGCAGCTTCCTCTTGACTCCTGCCCGGGGTTCTCTGCCATCCCCATTGGTGAGTGGCCCATCAGGAGAGTGATCTAAGCAAACACAAAATAACCCCATCAGTATTGCACACAAAAAGGACACAAAAAGTGGGATTTGCCTCAGTTGCCCTTGGGGCTCTCCTTATCCACCTCTGAGGTGTGCTCAAGGATCATCCACTGGGATTACTCACCCTTTATGTGCTGTGGACACAAGCAGGTGCTCTAAGAGGAAAACCTACCGAAGTAAACACAGTTTTTATCTGGAAGCAACAACTGCAAACTCTTCCTGAGCAAGAGTTCAGTGAAGATCCAGGCAAAAAAAAGGAGCCTGGAGTGACCAGGTTTGGACACAAACATCTAAAACTCAGTCAGGTGAATCTTACCTGGGGTGCCAAGGCAGGAAAACTCTAAAATCCATTTCAAAACTATATATACACAAAAATAACATTCTGCAAGCAGCATTTATTCCCTATCAAATGCTTGTGCTCAAAAGGCTAAGTGCAGGGAATATTAATGGAAAGCATAACTCAAGAGAGTCAATGGCCCAAGAAAGCTCACTGGGATTGCTGAACACCTTAAATGAAATGTCAATTAAGTATCTTGCTGGCTCAGGACCCAAAATCCTCCAAGTTTTGAGGGTTATGAATCTGACAATGAAGATTAAATATCTTCTTCAAGAAGCATCCTGCAGCATCCAGCACTGCTACAGCACAGGAGTGTGGACTTGGGAAAGGCTCCAGGGTTCAGGAAAGCCCATGCAGTGCCCACCTTGGTGGAAACTCTGAGTAACTCATCCCCAAGATCACCACACCTGAACTGTTTCCATTCTAGTCACAACTACTTTGTTTTGCATGTGAGAAAAATATTTAAATATTTTTGTGAATTTTTTTCATCTTTGGTTTCAGCTTGATTAATAAAAGACAAAGGTTTGGGGTGGAGATTATCTTTGCTTGCTTTCTGTAATTCCTGAAGGAACTGTAGGAGTTTAAGAGCAATCAAGTTTTCCATCTGGAAAGATTTTAAAGGACTTCACTAAAGTGCACATGGAATCATCTGCATTCCACACCTCAGACAAGACACCACAGAGTAAAGGAGCAAAGTAAATTCAATTTTTTGGTATGGTTTAGGAATATATACAATGCAACACTGAGGCAATAACATCAGAGAGAAGCAAAATCTTTCATCTCTAGTGAAACCAGTCAGTCAAAGCACAGAATTATTATTTCTCACCTTGTTTCACTGGTGTAGATTTGCTCCTGACTGGTCTGCTTTTCCCTGGGTCTATGGCATTTCCACTCCGGCTCTGTGCATTTGAGCCTGATGAAGATGGTTGACCCTCCAGCTCTTCACCAGTGGCTGAACCCAGAGGTTCTTCTGCCGTATCTGAAACTTCAGACAGGACAGCACAAGGGGACAGGGTGATTTTTATGCTCTGTTTAAAGGGCTGTGTCTGGGGAGGCTCTGTATGCCCCGAGTCAACAGCCCAAGTCAGGGTAATCTCACCAAGCTGCTCTGCAGCCAGGGAAAGACAGATTCCTCCTGAGTGTAACCCCAAGTAGGATTATTTAATTTAATAATTAATAATTATCCTTCACTGCTGTAGGAGAGAGGCCCACAGACAGGAAGTCTGGGCTTTTGTCCCTGGAATAATTCTTACCACAGCCAGACCGAGGTTCCCAATCCCTGATCCTTCCCCAGAACTTCCCAACAACCAAACTCAGCTAAAACAACCAACAGACAACAAATTTCAGGACCTCACTCCTTCAACAGGCCGGTTTTGCACGTGTCTCATGAGGACAAGACTCAACCTGCACAGACAAGTTGCTGTAAGAGAAAGGCTGGGTTTCTCCTCACCATGAGATGAGACTGAAGAGTTTGTCCTGGTCAGGGGCAGTGAGGTATTTTGGTTGGGTTTAGGTTGAATCTTCACTTGCTTCTGTTTCCCTTTTGGGCTGCAAACATAGAATACCCCAAAGAGAGAAATCTGTTATCACCACAGACTCAAATACAAAACTGATTTCTCCTGCAAAGTGATCTCTTCTTCCCAGGTGTTATAATACTAAAAACAGTTACACCATGGTGCTGTTTGCTGAAGGTATAGGAGTTTGCAGGGACAAGGTTTTATCTCCCCTTTTAAAACCAACAGTCTGTTTACTCAGATAATGTATCAGATGAAGGTAAGGAAGTGTTGCACAACACTTTTTTCAACAGTTAAAAGGTAAAGAGACAGCTGATCTTTCATTTCCTCCAGAGGGAACACTTTCAACCACATCATCTTTCACTTACCAGAATTAGAAACTACAAACTGAGCATGATTTTATCTCCCAGAAGAGCAAGTTCATCAGGAAATGAGCAACACTGCTGCTGGTTATTCCCAAAAGCACATCCACCCCTGTGCTCTGGAATGGCACTGCCAGCCAGGCTCAGCATCCCTGCTTTACCTGGATGCTCTGCTGGTTGAGGGGGAGCTGCTGCTGCTCCTCAGCCGCTTTCGGTACCGAGGCCTTTTCCTCTTCTGACATTGCAGTGCTGACTTGTACTCAGAGATGATGTTTTTCATGTGATTCTCAAATAAGGCAGAGAGTCGAAGGGTCATGCTGTAAATCTGCAGTGAGGGAAAATGGTCAGGCTTATTAGAATTGAATAACTTGAAGCTAAACCAAAAAACCATCAGAGAGACGTCCAGACTTTGTAGCACAAAGCAAAAATTCATACTGATGTTCCACTATGAGGTTCTTTACAGATTATTTCCTTCCATGGGCCATGTGTATTATTGAAACAGAAAGTGTTTTCTTAAAAAGATTTAGTAACGGTACAAAATATTTCCAGAGCTGAAAGAAAATGGATTTCTGGATTATTGGAGTACAGTCCCCTTTGTCAATCCCCATGAAGCACGGAAGCAGGCCTTAAGATAACTTGAATACCAAGGAGAAAACAATTGGATTTCACATCTCCCCACCTTTGTTTTTGCACTACATGCCTGGTGAACTGTCCTTACACCACCCTTACAGAGCTACAGAGAAGCAACCCAAAATGTCCTCAGCCCTAATTTCTGTAAACCAGATGTCAAAATCTTTAAAGCACTTTCCTGTCTTCTTTGTAGGCCTTGCTTTTTGTGTAGCCTCATCCACAATATGTGCAGTTATCAAGCTGATAGCCTTGTTTACAGGGATAAATTATTGAAAAAAATAAAAGCAACTGGTGACCAGTTTTCTGCAAGGAACAGCTGCAACAGTGACCATCATCCCAGATGAAAATGGATGTTAGATATCAACTGGGAGAGCAGCACAAAGCAAGTTTATAACCACAGAATTGGCATATCCTGGTTATTTTTATTACACTAAGCAGTGCTTTGCTCTTCAGACCTTATCTGTTTTATTCATGTAGGGCCAGGGTCTTTGTTAAAAAACAGGCATTAAAATTTATTACTTACACGAGACTTTTTATTAGGAGTGTAAGCTTTAGAATTGCAGAATATTAAACGAATATCTTTGTAGAATTCCAAGGGACTGGTGTAGTTTCCTGCTTCCAAGGTTTCTTTCACAGTGCTGAAGTCCATGGGAGTGTCTACAATATCTCGATAATCCTGTGAGAACACACAAGAGAAAAATCAAAGCTCTCAAATCCTCCAGCAGTAACATCACCTCAGTGTTCATCCAGTGGCTCAAGTCATTAGTTTACTTTCAGAGTTGTTGCAGATAATTCTCTGAAAACATCAGCTCATAAAGGGAGAGGACAGAGCCATGCCCAGCATGGATGTTCTGCCAAAGGAGGAACAATTCTGAGCGTGGAAGCTGCACTTACAGGGTAAGAGAAGAGATCAACAGGCTGCCTGAAAGGCTCTGAGTCCTCTCGCTCATAAATCAGGTTTAAGAGCTGCTGGCACTGCTCCTTCCAAGCATCAGCACTGGCTTTCATGGGCTGCCTCTTCACCCTTCGTCTCACCTGCAGGGAAACAGGCATTGCAGATGGTATCAGAGTATTCACGTTTCTCCCTTGAAGTTCCTACTATCTCCCAGCATTCTGCAATTAAAGCATTACCCAATTAAAAACAGAAATCCAGGGAGATTAAAGCAGAGCTGATGGCACAGCAATATGCAAATTAGACAAATCAAACAAATTTGCCTTTTCTGGTCATATATAACACTCAAACCCATGAGAAGGTGCAATATTTCAGCCCCAGCCTTGCTGTATTTATCAGTTGCATTTAAATTTGACTGCTGCAGATATTTTCTTTAAAATCAAATTAAAAAAAAAAAATAACCACAGCCGAAATTTTACTCACTCGTCTTTTCCCAGAGGAAGTGCCTGGAGCATCTGAATCCACATCCACTTCTGCCACCTAAAGGCAAAGGGAATGATCACAGACAGGTCTGGATAACCCTCAGCCATGGAAAAAGGGTTAAAAACCAGCCAACAACAACCACAGGGCAACAGGAACTACAGCACATTTCAAACTGCCCTGAAGGGGAGAAGGTGTCAGGAGAGGGAAGCGGCTCAAGGCAGGGATATCTACCCTGGATTCTACCTGACATTTCACTCCAGGGATCAACTGATGGGAAATGACACAGAATTACATAAGGAAATCAGCTTTGCTGCCTCGTTGACAATGGAGAGCTGTTGTCCTTCTGACTGACTAACAGCTCCACTTCCCAGCTCCCCTCATTACTCATCCTTCCAACAAAACATCATGTACTGACAGAAGATTAAAGACAGCCAGTTCCAAAAAGCATTTTTACTTCAGGGAGCTTATTGTCTCAGGTGAGCCTAAACAGCCTCATCTCCAAAACTCAGTGCAATTATCCATAAAATAAAGACTCAACAAAAATCAAAATTTCTTTCATGAGCCGAATTTTAAAAGGGAAGGAAATGATCTTACCTCCTCTTCCTCATCTGTACTGCTCAGGTCTTCTGCTTTCACCTTGTTGTAGATTTCTAATATATCAGTACAGCTCTGATCTCTGCAGGACAATGACAAAAAACAAGGTACACAATGAAGGATCCCAGGAATTGGAGCTGTGGGGTCTGTGAGGTCCAAACTCACCCAATGAAGCGGAGCAGAACATCTGTCACAATTTTGGCTGCTTTGACTATGGGGCTGTCTGGCTCGTTGAAAGTCCTGGCATTGTGTTCAATGTATCTTACCTCCCACATCAGGGCAGAGATTCTCCTGAAAAGTACACAATATTAAAGGAATGGGATGGAGAGGATCATGTATGTTATTCTTCTTCCACATTCAGTAGGATTCTTCAGTAAAAAATGGAATTGGGAGTTCAGATCAAGCAGAAACAGGTTGTCCTCAGAGGGGTAAATGAGAGCAGGACATTATTTATTTCCAAATTAACTGGGAAAACTGGGATTTCCAGTTTCCAGCATCATTCAGTCCCCTTCTAGCAGCTGCAGCACAAGCAAAGACCCTGCTCAAAGGCAGCAGGGATAGAAACAAAGCAAACATGCTCTGCCTCCAACACAGAGCCAGGCTCAGGGTGTTCAACCAACACTCCAGATCCAGCTACAGCAGCTTTTGCCCTAAAGGCCAGGAGAATTTATCATTCAGGAAGACTCACTTTGCCCAAGGCCAGTCTGATCTGCTGTTGCTGAAGGGACTTTTAAACAGCATTCAGCTCCACATAATAATAAATGCAATAAATGTCAGCTACAAACCCAAACTCACCTATAAAACCTGTTTTCAAGCCTCCTCCTGATGGTGGTGAGGTCAGTTGGATAAGCAACAACAGTGCAATACATGGGATAGGCACTAAGGTCCACTGGAACAGCAAAGGGATTAGAAATGTCTGCAAGACAAAAGACCACAGTGATTTAGATGCCTCCAAGGGATGTTATAATGTTATACCAAGATTCCTTTTAATGGTTTCTGGGGTTTCTTTCAATGAATTCAGCAAAAGCAACACAGAGCTGCAGCTGAGAATGTCATTACCTACTGGGCGGGGTTCCTCCTCTTGTGCCATCTATTCCTACTCTTGAAAAAGCACTTTTTGTTTAAAAATCACATCTGAGATTTGTGTGCCAGCAGCCAATATGACTGAAAGGAATGAGGCATTTGCACTTACAACAGGAATACTACAACATGCAACAGTGAGTAAGAACACAGACGTGTCCTGGGTGTAAACAAAGGCAAATTTAAAGCACAGTGTGCTCCTAAATGGTTACAATCCAGTTACAAGGAATTTGGAGCTAAGGGTATTTAGTGAGGATTTGTTGGTTGGTTCTGAGGGGTTTAATTGTATGTTTTGCTCTTTCACCTTTAGATATGACCTGCTGGGAAGCTCCACTGAAAGAACTCAGGTGAAGCCCAAGATAAAAAGAGAATTTAGCTTGGAAATTGAAACATGAAATTTAAAAGGCTTTTTTCAGTAATTTAGTTGAGTACGTTTCAAATACTCCACACCATGCCCCAGCACTCCATCCCATCCACTCTTCAGTCCTGTGCCACTCCCTGATATTGTTAATCCTTCCCCCTTTTCTCTCCAAACATACCGAGGGAAAGAAGCTGCTCAATCCCCCGGATTACTCGTTCACATTCTTCATCTCTGGAATGGGCCCCCCATTCTCCTTCCTGGGGCTTGTAGAGAAGAGCTGTCAGCTCCTCTGGGGTCACAGGAACTCCAGCACCGACCTCCTCCGGATAAGCAGCTGGAGAGGAACAATTCCAGAGGGTAAATCCAGGGCCCCAGAGCTGTTTGCTTTGTGCAGGGACAGGAATCCAACACACACTTACTTCCTTCTGGGATCGGCTCCATGTCCCATGGACTCATCCTCTCTCTTTCATTGTTGTCCCAGCTATTAAAAAGTTCATTCAAATGCACAAGTTAGAGCTTAATATAAAGACACACCTTTTCTTTACCAGATTTGACCCAAAAGGTCACTCCAGTTAGGAATAAGACATTCCAACTCCCTATTTTCCTCTTGCATCTCCTATACAGTCACTGCACTGCTGTTTATACCAGAATTGTTGCTTTAGGAATCAATTAAAAAATGAAATAAGTAAATATTAAAAATATTCTAAAATAAATAAATAGTAAGTAACAAATAAGAAATACAATATGTAACATTATATAAGCAAATAAGGTGTCTGGGTATGTATTTACTTGGAAAAAGAGATTCTAGCTCCTGAGGTTCTTGATCCTATTTTTGAAGTTCTCTGAGTTGTGTAGGAGCCCCAGGACATGGAAATACTCACTGGACACTGTAGCACTGGAAGGAACTATCAGGATATTCTGCCTGGAAAGGCTGCTGACTCTCCACAGTCCCAAACCACCAGGCATCATCAATGATACTGCGAAATCGATCCCCTGGAAGGGCAACATTCAGAAAAAGAACATCAAGAATTGCTAAATACTTCCTTTTAGAGAATCAGCTCCCTCTTTTGTGAATGCCCTACTTCCATCCTTACATTTTGCACCCTCAGGGCAGGACTTACCCATCTCTGGGAATTACTCACAGCTGCCTCACACTTCAGATCCCAACAGATCAGGAGATTCTCCTGCTATCACTGCCCTTGGAACAGTTTCTCTCATATATCTTTTTCATTTTTGCTACAGGAATTGCAGCAAACATCAAATAAAAGTTTCCAATAATCTTTACAATATCACGTGTGTATAGTCCTTCACATCAAGTAATAAAGACACTGTGTCCCATTAAACAGCTGCAGAAATGGTGCAAAACACATGGAATTGGGGAAAAAAAAATACTCACCTATTTGCCAGTTCCTTTCTTTGGCTTCATTATAAAACTGATGCAGCACAAGGAAATCAATAACATCTGGCATATCGTGGTACCTTCAGGAAATAAGACCAAAAAAAGTTATTATAACTCAGAAATACAATTCTAAATGAACTACAGAGTCCTCAAATTCCATGCATTTGGGATAAGCATTACTGCCATCATCATGCCTTGCACAGGAAATAAGAAAGGAGGAGGGGGAAGCTTCTACACTGCAAGGAAAGCTCTTGAAGAGTGTCATCAGCATTCCAGTGACTTACTTTATGGAAAAGGATTCTCCTGTCATTTTGCCTGTGATTGGATCCAGGAATGCAAGCTTCAAGCAACAGAGTGTGGGAGGCCCAACTTCATATTTAATTCCTACAGTCTTCACAAATTCTTGTTCCTAGTCAGCAAGAAGCATGGAACAGCATTATTTCACCTTGCCAACAACAAAATATCCATTTTAAAGTTACACATATTAATAAAACCTAAGTATGTTTCCACTCTCTTTCCCAAATACTAAAATCAATCATTGTCACCTCAAAAGGAAGAATGAAGAAGCTCATTCCCTTGGCAGGTTTGTGAACAGGATTCCTACAAAATGTTTCAGAAGATTCTAAGGAACAAATCCAGTTCTAAGCACACCAAAGGTTCTTTCTGACCTACCCCAGGGCCCCTCACTCTTGCACAGTCGGAAAAAAGGAAATTCTTCCTCTCAAAATGGAAATTACACAATTGTTCATGTCCTGTCAAAGCCCATCCTAAGTGAACAGATATTTCCTTTTCCTCACAAAGTGATGATGCCTTGGAAAATTACAGCTGGAATCACTGAATATCTGGGACAGTAACTGGGTATTTTCCCAGTGATTAACAGAACCACTGGCATGGTTAAGTGAATGTGAGCACATATGTGGGCTCTTCTCTTGAAGTGAAATCTGAGGAAAGCAGGAAAAAATATGGCAACACTGTAGATTAAGGTTTGGGAACTCGTTCAAAGCAAGATTCAGTGTTTAAGAGAACTCCTGCACACATTTAGGTGTTTACACCATGATTTCTTACTTCTTACCACAGCATTAAAAACAAGAAACAGAACCCAAATGCTCAGGCCACTGTAGAGTGGTGAGAGAACCACAAACAGCTCTGCAGTGCTGGGTTCTGAATAAATTCAGTGTTCAGGCAAAAATAATTTGTGTTGAAAGAGATCCCTGAGAATCAAGTCCAAAACCAGGAGGTGAACAGATGTAAAGACTTTGTGTTAATAAAAACGAACTTTAATATTTACAATTAAAACTTTGATATTAACATTTTAAAGCAATACTTTCTTTATAGTTTTCATGCTCATTTTTCATGTCAGTTTAACATTACAGAGACATTCAGCTCTTTGAAGTGTTTCTTGAACTTACCCTGAGTTCCATTTTGTTCCATGGTTGTTTTTGCATGTTAATACTGTAAATTTTGGCTTTCCTCACTGCCCTCACATAAGCTTCATGGCCTTGCCTAAAGTAGATGATCTTAAAAGAGAAAAAAAAAAAGAGAAAATTAAGAGAGAAAAAAGAGCAAATGAGAAAAGTATAGAAAATTATTTTAATGATTGCCTCTTCCTGTTCATAATACCAGCTCTTAACCCTTTGAGAACACATTGCACACTTACTTATTTCATCACACAACACTCTTCTACTTAAAAATATTTCTATCAGCCCCCAAATTGGCACCTGCTCCGTGCTTTAAAACTGGGATCATTAAGAAATGTGCAGGTGAGGATGCACAATGGATTTTTCCTGCTAACCCCAAGTCACCTGTGCAGAAAAAGGGACGCAGGATGTCAATCACTAAACAACAAGAATTAACAAAGTTATCAAAACTCAGCCTGTCCTGAGCACAGTTCCCTGCAAATATTGCTGGGCTGAGGAGTCCCAAGCAAGCAGAGCTGCTGAGTGCCCCGGGAATGTGGAATGGTGAGGGCAGTACCTCATCCCCCATCTGGGGCACGAAGGGCGAGCGGCGGGGAATGGTGTCCAGGATCCACTGCGGGGCCAGCCACTCCTCACTGGGCTCCCCCTCCAGGGACAGCAGCCCACTGGCTTTCTACACACACATCAGGAGATCACACAGGTAAGTGACACACAGAAGTTACACATTTGCATTAATTCAGAATGAGATCGGCACAATATTCAGAGTACAGTTAGCTACTATGGAAAACTGATCGTGCAGCAGTTTCTGCAGGTAAGATACAAGGAAGAGCAAATTGTGGAGTGTTATCCTTCCCAAAATCTCCAATAAATAGCAGAGAATAAGACAGGTTTGTTATAAATAAAATTGAAAATTAAAACCTTCATAAATCATTAAAATGCCTTAAAACCTTCATAAACCATTAAAATGCCTATGGCAGGGGTGTGAGATAAGATGATCGAAAAGACCTCTCCAACTCAAGCCAGTCTGTGGTTCTATAATAAAGAAAGAAATTGTATTTCTATAAATATTCTAAATGTCTTTAAAAAATTAGCAGGAAAAAGAAATCTGACTATGTCAATACAATACAGATTCATTATAATTTTACAACAAAACCACCCTTTTGTAAACCTGACTGTGGTGAAGAGCATAAATCTGGGAGAAAAAAATGACATTTGAAATGCAGAACCACCTATGGGAAACATGGAAGCCAAATAAAACAAACAATAAAATTTCTTGGTGCCACTGGTAGCACAATTACTGTGATCTCTATACTCATTTATGAAATTTTTTTCTTTTAAAACAATCACTAAAACCCAAATTTATATTCATAAAATACAAAAGATCCTAAGAATTACACTTGCTGACCTTCTTCCTTGGCTGTTTAAGTTTCCTTCGCTTTGGCTCCAGCCCTTTTGTTCCCTTCATATTTTCATCTTCAGAACTACTACAGATTTTCCGAGCTGCCTGCCTGGTTTGTCTCTTTGGAGGCTGCAGATTAATCCCAGCATCTGCTGTCCAGTCTGAATATTCACTTGATGAATCACTGTAGACAATAAAGAAGTTGTAAGAATGAGAACAAAAACTTCAGTTTCCCCACAGTGGATTGAAAAGTCCAATCATTCAACCTGATCTCCTGGTTCTGCTCAGGATTAGCACAGAATTTTGTTATCATGTGAATTTAGAGAAAAACAAGTGCTTTCTGATTTGTAATTTCAGTAAATTCTTTTATCAATTTGAAACTCTATGTAAAACTACATCTATGGCTGATACCAATTCTCATTATCTCACTGATTCACAGACTGAATTCCTAAGAACTGGCAGCAAAAAAATGCATGGAACATTTAGGGAATAGAGCACTGCCCTAAAAATCCAGCTATGACTTCTTTAATACCAAATAATACACGTATAGGATTTATATGGCAAACTGGCATTGAAATTTTTAACGTAGCTCTTAATTAAAGGCAACATCTTCTTATAAAAGTTTTTTTTTAGAATTGTTTCTGAATTTGAAAAGAACATGAAAAAAATCACAATAAGAAATGTTTCATGACTGATTAAAAATCAAACTTCAAAATCAAGTTTGAGTATCTCAGTATCAACTGCCCTACTAAAATCCCATAATAAACCAGTGCTCCCAATTCAGAGCCCAGTGGAGGTACCTGGAACTGCTTTCACTCTGCCAGGCTGCCACAGGATCATCCATGGATGCATCACTTGTGCCAACAGTCTCATCTTCCTGTAGTGAAAACAAGAGGATTCACTCTGGGGCCAAGGGGAAAATTTATCATTTTTGTTTGCAAGCAAGTTGTGTCACCTGAGGAAAGCTTTGTATTCAAGGGCTGGTTAGCTTTAAAGAGATAAATCCACAATTTCTTCCTGTATCTTAATTAATATCATAATATATCCTTATATAGCTCCTACAGAAACAAATGTGAATTTTAATTATAGCAGAACTACAGAGTGGTTATTAATCAAACACTTATTTAAGTGTTTGATTAATAAATTTTAGTGACCAGGGCCCAGCTTTTTGAGCTGTTCTGTACTTTCAATGCATTTACAAAGCAGCAATGTTCAGTCTCTTCCTTAAGGAGAACAAGTTATATATACCTGGTATATTTTAAGTTCTTCCCTTGTTAAAATCAATGATTAATACCAATACTCAATCTCTTTCAACAGCACTCTCCAAATGTAGATGAAATCAAAGCACTGCAAAACGAAATCAAAGTCCTGACCCAGAATCCATGTGCTGTATGAAATCCCAAAATAGCAAGTGGTTTAACACAACCCAGTTAAATTTACTTGAAAATGTTTCAGGTTTCCAAAAATACAGGAGCTGTTTTAAGCTACTTTTGAACACTGTCCTGGCATTTAGGTAAATGATCCTTCACTCTCCAAGACCAACATGCCACAGGAACACCACAAATCCCAGGGACTCAATGACCTGAGTGTTTCTTCCCATGTGGAGAATCACAGAATATCCTGAGCTAGAAGGGACCCACAAGGATCAGAGCTCAGCTCCTTGCCCTGCCCAACAATCCCACCCTGTGCATCCCTGGCAGTGCTGTCCAAACCCTCCTGGAGCTCTGGCAGCTTCTGGCTGAGCCCATTCCCAGGGAGCCTGGGCAGTGCCCAGCACCCTCTGGGGGAAGAACCTTTCCCTGATTTCCAGCCTGACCCTGCTCTGGCACAGCTCCAGCCCAGTTCTCTGGGTCCCATCCCTGTCACAACCTCTCTGGATTTTCAAGACTGCTCAAAAAATCATCCAGAGAGGCTTTGTGATAGCATCAGCAGCAATTTGAGGATTCTGGGATGAATTGTCTCAGGCCCCATCAACTTGTAGGGATCCATCTGGAGCAGCAGATCCCACACAAGCTCAGGGCTGACTGGGAGTTGATCACTCTCACTCATGGCTTAGAGCACTGGGACCCCTTTGCTCCATCAACCACGTTGAAGATGGAGACAAAGGATGTGTCAAACCCGTCTGCCCTGTCCCTGTTTGTGAGGTGACCATCCCCATGCTGGAAAGGTTATTTTTACACCGCCTTTTGCCACAAATACATTTGCAAAACCTCTTTTTACTGCCCCCACCCCAGTCCTGGCAGCTCCAGCTCAAACCGAGCTTCAGCTACACAAACTTCCTCCCTCCAGCAGAACCTTAACATGGATTTGGGAAGGGGGAAGGTACTGGAGGCTGCAGGGAGGCTCAGACCTCGGAGGAGCTGTCGGAGTCGTGGTGTGCACAGGGGTTCTGGCTGGCTCCCTGCTGGCTGTGCTCGATGGTGGAGCGTGTCTGGTACGCGTGCTGCCGCTTCCGCTGGTTCCTGCGCAGCGAGCGGCCGCCTCCCGCCTGGAACTCGCTCTGCCAGGGCCACAGGAGCACACACAGGGACAAATCAGGGAGTTACTCACGAGTTACACACTGAAAAGGTGCCTGGTTACAGCAGCGGAGTGTTGCACCCCAGTTGATTGTGCTGCACCACAACTGAGCAGTAAGAAAGCGTTGTAGAATTAGACAGTATCTCTGACACATTGTGGATGTTTTAGGTGTGGATTTCAACAGAAATTCTACTTTAAAAAGTGGCAGTCTTTGGAAAGGAAATGATTAAAAATACCTTTTTTTTTTCCTATAAAATTCCTGCAGTCTCTGCATAAGATAAATCCAGCCCTTGTACAAGTTTGGCACCTCTACTTTCCACAAGTCAAACTGAAAACCCACCGTGGCTCTGCAATTTTCCTTTCCCAGCATCTTCCCACCACTGAAACCTCAATGATAGAGATTTACCACTATTTGGGTATTACAGACAGCCAAATCACAGTTACAGAAGGAAGAAGACAGTGAGCCAGAGAAACAATTAAGACTATTGATCTTCTAAATAATTCAATAAAATTGGTTTGGGGTTTTTTGTTGGTCTTATTTTTGCTGCTCAGTACTGCTTCCCACTGAAGTTGTCTCTTCCAGGGCACTAACTCACCCGTTGTAAGGTGTGGGATGGCTTTCTCTTCTTGTCAGCAGTGTATAAACTGATTTCTATTTCACCTTTGGCAGCTCGACATTCTTCTTGGACCCTAATTATACATAAGAAACACACATTATTTTCATTAAATCATCATGGAACTCAACAGCCTCCTTAATCTACACATCAAAATACTTGTGCTGCTCTAAGACATCTGTGCATAAATCCCCCTAGCAGCATCCATCCATTCACTCCTGGAATCACAAGTTAAAGAAGCAAACTCGTTAGCTGAGCAGCCATAATTATTTTCAAATGTATTAAAATTATTTTCAAGTCTTTTTTAAATAAAGCTTGAGGGAAATGTAGTATTCAGAGTACTAAAGAAAGACTGAATTGTGAAAGAATGAATTACCATTCTCAACTCTCCACTCTGATCCCAATATTCCAAACAACCCAACCAACCAAGCCGCAAAGCTGAAAGATCATTCCAGGAGTACGGAAGGATCATTCCCCACGAGTGAACCTCTCGTCCTGCTGAGCCTCTTACTTGCTGATGCCTGGGGGGAGCTCGTTGACCACCACCCTCCTGCTCCAGGCCATGAGGTCCCTCTCGGTGGCCATCTGGCTGCGGGGCGCGTTGTGGTGCATCTGCCGCACGCCCTCGATCTGCCCGCTCCGCCGCAGCCCCACGTTGGGCGGGGACGCCACATCCAAGCCCGGGCTGCGAAGAGCTGGGGGAGAGAGACAGAGAAAGAAAGAAAAAGCTTCTTCACTTCCATGGATCACCAATAAAATCATGGAGTCACCCGGGATGGTTGGGTGAGGACGGATCTTAGAGGTCAAACAGCGCCAGCTTCTGCCATGGGACACCTTCCACTCTCCCAGGTCGCTCCAAGCCCTGTCCAGCCTGGCCTTGGGCACTTCCAGGGATCCAGGGACAGCCACAGCTTCCTTGGGCACTCTGTGCCAGGGCCTGCCCATCCTCACAGGGAACAATTCCTTCCCCATAGCTCATCCACAATTTAAGACCGGCAAAAAGATTGATAAGCAAAGGTTGGTAATAATGGAATCACTGCCATCATTGTCCTCACTTTTCCTTCACAATTTCCACATGCATAAATACTCTATATCAAATTATAATATTGCATTTATGGTTGTGTAAAGCTATATAAAAATATCTGGCTGTTTCAATACTTTAGATGTACTCCAGTTAACTTAATCAAACGGGCAGTTCATGTGGGCAGTCACTAATTAATGCAAGCTCTAGGGAAGGGAAGGGAAGTGCTTTAATTTCCACACTACTCATACCTGGAAACTCCTTTACACAACTACAGGGACACACAAATAAAACTGGGAACTGGAGCTGTACAACACATCAACATATCCTAAGCAGCAGAAAAGACTTTGTGTGAGCTGAAGCAGCCTTTTAGGCAAGCTTTTTGAAATATCAACTTAGATCAAAGCAAAAATGCATTTTCTTATTTTTCCCTGATATTTTTCTTACTCCTTCTTGGATTGAAACATAAGCAATTCCACATCCAAATCCTAATGAGCTTTGCCAGGAAATGTACTTCAAACACATGTAATCAGTCACTTAACCTAGAAGTGATTTATTAGCAGCTGTGAATTCTCCCAAGGCTCAGGCTGACTTGCAGCACAGTCCTGGGCTGAGCACTCACTCAGCTGCTCACATCTGATTGAGTGTGGTTTCAGTTTTTAATCACTTTGTGTATTAAAAATAAAATCACAGTAGCAGAACACTTAACAGGAGAATAATCTCAAGCTTTCTAAGGAAACACTAAGACAGAGCAACATATTTATTTTATTAGCACTGATGCTCAGCCTTGTGCTGCAGCAGGAAACCATTAGTCTGTCACAACACTGTATTCCACTGACAGCCCCTAATTATATGCTTTCATTTTGGCATTTTGCAGTTATGAAGTTTCATCTCTGCACCGATAGCAAGACAATACAGTGAACTTCATGCTTATTTTTCAGGAAACTGGTTTGTAGCAGTCTAATTCCAGTTTAATAACTCCAAACAATCAGATAAAGCCCAGTCAGACAACTGGATGCCCTTAACTGCCCCTTAAATTTATAATTCCTCTGCTGGAATCCAAAGAACATCCCAGTGCTCCACAGGGGCTAATAAGGTGTACAAGAAGAGGATAGAAAAGCATCTTCAAAGACAATGTGTCAGAACTGACAATAACATTTTGATTTTGATCAGTCCTTCCTGTGGTAAGGTAGGAACTGATGGAGATAAGGCTGGACACTGACCTCCATTAACAGAGTGGGATCTGTTGAGTGGAGGGTTTGGAGGAGTTTCTCCTTCATTAATTAATCTCAGATCTTGTTCCCTCTGGAGCTCTCTGATCATTCCATCAAGGATACTCTCATCCTGGTCATTGGTTTGCTGCCCGATGACTTGTTCGACCACCTCACCATCACCTTGACAAGAACAAAACCACAAATGCTGATAAAATGATGGATTGCTATATTAGCAAACAGCACAGAAATAATCCCATTTGAAACTCTGCACCACTATTTGCTCTGCAAAACATCTGATCACCAGCTGGCTTTCTGCTCTCATGTAATAAATGGAGGCAAAGTTTAGAAGAGAAGTTACAATAAAATCCTAAAACTCCAGACCACATGTAGAACATAAACACAACCCATTAGAAACAGCAGAAAGAAATAATGCTTCAGTAGGTAAGAATGGAAGGTCTTTTTTGGAGATCAGCATTTTGCTAAAGTTTGTGTCTACAAGACAAAAAATAACTGTTTTAAAAAACAAAAGCTGGTTTTCCATGTCTTCCTCACCTTCCTGCTTGCTTTTTGATATCCATAGTTACAGAGGTAAATAGACAATGCTTTAAACATCTGCCATATACCTGGGAAAAATCCACAGATTTTGGAATACTCTTGCCTCCAGTCAATTCGATTCCATACATAACCCCCACCATACCCCCTCTTCTACCTGTATATTGAATTTAAACCATTAATTCATACATCCTCACAGCACCATCCCAGGAGCTGGTGCTCAATACTGTGCCACACTTGTATTATTCATGAGCTTCAGACAGAATACCATTAGCCACATATCCCAGCTGAGGAATAAGTTGTTCATCCTTGCAATTTTCCCTCCCTGGCACCAGCCGCTGGAATCTCGTGGGATGAGGATTTCCATCAACATCCACCAGGAATGGAGGAGGCATAAGATGTGGAGCCTGTTGAGTCTGCTCATCCAGCACATAATTATTGGCATCCCGGATCAGGGGCCGGTAATCCGTGTGGAAGAACATCTGATCAGGAATCTGAAAGAAAAGCAATTTAGGAAATAAATCAATGGCCATTTGCAGCTGTCTTGCTGCTCTGGAATGGCTCCCATAAACCACAACTCCTACACTTGGGATCAGCATAAGGAATGTTGTGATAGGGAACAGATTCCTGCCACAAATGTGGTTTATTACCAAAGCCTGATGCAGAAATTCAACAGTAAAATAGGCCAAGAGAGGTGGACAGAGAAGTTAATGCCTTTCTCCTCTATCTATAGAGTCTCTTGTCTAATCTTTTTGATTTAGATAAACAGCAACTGCTCCATGACCTAATTATTATTTTGTCTGGGGCAGGGTGAAGGAATAAATTGTAGCACAAATACTTCTAAGACAAAATCAGGTCAAGACAGGGAAGAGTTTAAAATTCAACCCACCTTTTCATAATATTTATTGCATCCAAAACCAAATAGTAGCAGATGTCCATGAGAGTCTGTGCAGGCAAAATGCTGCCCATCTGGTGAGAACTTGCAATCAAAAACAGCTCCATGGCCTTGGCCCTCAATCTGTACCAAGCACAGAGAACTCCTTTCACAACCAGACACTCTCTGTAACAGCATTTTCACAAACATTTCCCCCGTGCTCCAACATGTACTGAATCCTTCACATCTTGCTCAAGACTGATTTACAGAGTTAAATTGAATAAAAAAGTATTTCAACCCAACTTTTAATGTATGTTCTGGAACAACCACCTGCAAGTCTACATTTTATGTTAATGGCAGACACAGGTCAAGATCACCAAAGATCTCAGAGCTGTACTGGCTCTGGAGATATTTAATGAAATCTGCTTTTGTCTCAAGACCAGTTTTGTGAAAAACAAAACAAAACAAAACAAAACAAACCTTCTGTGATCCTTCTTACCATGTTAAAGTAATTGCGTATTTTTGTTCCTTTGTCTATATCCCAAACAAAAATATTCCCATCGTGTCCTGCCGAAAGCACAATCCTTTGGTCAAAGGGATGAGCCTCCAGAACAAAAACCTCATCATCGTGACCCTACAACGACAGCAGGGGGAAAAAATGAAGTTTTATTTCTCCATGTGGTATCTCCAGATGTGCTGGGAGTTACTGAGAGGACATCCCAGAGCAGGGAGTCACCCAGGACCCCTCAATTTATTGGAACTGTGCTCAGTCACCATTCCTGCAGCAGGTTTGGCAGTGTCACTGCTCAGCACTGCTGAGATGGGGAGGGATGCAGAGGAAGGAGACATCAGGGCACAAATGGAGCCTCCAAAGGGTTCCCTGTCAGTCAGCCATCACCAGGATTCTGCACACCAGCTCCTGTCCCCATGGTGCACCCTCCTCCCAGCAGGCAGGGGACAGCTGGATACTCCAACACCAAATCCTTGTCGTGGGAATGGTGATGAGTTCAGCCTCCAATCAATCTCAGAGTGAACTACATCCACCTGGGATTCCCTCCTGGAATTGTACTCACAGATAAACTATGGAGAAGCTGCCCTGTGGACGAGTTCCACACTTTGAGGAGGAAATTGTTGACTGCAGTGATGACGGTGGCATCGTATCGATCCCAGGCCACCATGGTAACCTTCAGCTTGGTGACCTTGTCCTCTCCAGATGCCACATTGTTTCTAAGGAAATCAGCAATTTAAAAAGGAATAAATCAGTAACTACATATGGAAACACTTAGGAGAGCTAATTCAGTATAAAATTCAAGGGAGGATGGATCACAGGCACCTCTGTGACTGCGGCTAAGGCAAGAGAATGAAGGATGGTTCTCCAGTGGTAAAAACCAAATACAGGAAATATTCAGTGCCACTGAGATTTATAGAGCTCTATTTCCTTAAAAAGGACATTTTCTCCTCTGTTCCTAAGCCATCATCCTTCCCTACCCCCATTTTTCCTTTCAGCTTTATTAAGCTTTTTTCTATAAGGCATTTTTCTTATCAGTCATCAATACCAGTGAACTCCACAATGAGCAAGAACCTCCTAAATAAATCCAACTCACACTTCCGACTGCAAACACTGCAAATGCAACCACTGAAATATGGGGAATTCTGCAAAGCAAGTGCCTAATGGATTTCTCCATTTCTGCTCTTTGTTGTTGTGAATATTCAATTACAATTCAGTTACAGGGCACTTAAAGAAGTCACTTGAGGATCTCAAAAAGAAAAATTCAAAACCCTAATTGAACCTGAGAACCAAACTAATTTCACCTCTTACTTGGAAACCTAAGGTAGAAATACAGTGCTAAGAACCATGGTGAATATATATATATATATATATATATATATATATATATATATATATATATATATATATAAGTAAATGATCACTGGGGCACTACCAAAATCTCTTTCTGTGAGATAAATCATTTGACATTCTTATTTCATGTGTAAAATACTAAAAATTCCTCAACCATTACGACAGGGAAGTACCAACAGATTATTATTTATTTGGGGGTGAATTAACTGTGTAAGTTGACAAAGCCATCACATTTTCAATACATGCACAGAAATCAACTCAAAATGGAAGCAAATAACCAGTTTTCAATGTAATGAAGGATTTAGCTTGCAGCTAAATGTGCCCATGAGGTGTGTTTTGCTTGCTCTGCTTTACCCTGTCATTTTTGTAGCCATATCCAGGACCAGACTCTTCCAGTCATGCTGATGGTAGTGCCAGATTCTTGCTGTTCCATCCCTGCTTCCACTGACAAACCTTAAGCTGTGGGGCAAATGGAAAAAAAAAGCCATGAAATTCTGACTAAAGATGGTTTCACCCCTACATAGACACCAATAAATTATATATATACACACTTGGAAGTGTGCACTTGTGCATCTCTACTTCTCTCACTCATGAGGTTACAATTTTCCCATCAGATACTGGAGGGTACAAGAGAGTTTCTAGCCCACAGCATTAATTACATTTGGCTCCAGCAGCAGATGGCCTTGGAATGACTTCAATGTCGTAATTCATACGAGCTGCACATTCCCTTTTTAATGACATCAGCAAATCCCTGGAGCAGCTCTGAGTGGCAGCAAAGAAAGGGAAACGGAGTGCCAGGAGTCTGGCATAAATTATAATGCATTAACTTAGGGACAGGGTGAAGACAGGCAAGGGAAGGAGCCAAACGGAGCACAAGGAGCTTGTCCTGCCTGTGGAGCCCAACGGGAATATTTTAATTTTTAAACCCCCCCTTATTAAAAAATTTCAAGTATGCAGCAAATGTATTTAACCACATCATAATGCTTTGGCCATCCATGTCACTGAAATAATTTTTGTTGAGGAACTGGGAAAAAAGCTACTCAAGTAATAGATTTTCACAGGATGGCCAAGACCTTTGAAAGTATGTTCCATTTATATACAAAATAACACTTAAAAGGCAAATCTATTCAATTTTATGAAGCAATTGTTTCACCTTTTCAGTTTCCCTGGTCTGATTTTTTTTTACTGCGATGAAAAAGAACTTGAAAATGCTTGTGACAAATTAATTTTCTTCTTAATTTTACTTCTTTATATTAAAATAAAAAGGAAGGCACCCATTTTCCATTCAAAGCATTGTTACAGAATATAATTTTCAGTGAGTATGTGACCTCCTTCCCTCTCACATGGCTTGGAAGGAACTGGTGGTACAATTATCCCAGCACATTCCCACATAATTCCACATGACAAAGCTCTCCAAGTACAGGTGCACAGCTACAACTGGGCTTGGAAGGCTCATCCCTTAAACCTCCTGCCCAGAAAAATAAGGAACAGGAGCAAAAGCTGAGATAAAAACATCTATATTTACTAACTTTTGCTTTAGACTACATTGATTACAATGCTCTTCCTCCACAGGCAACCCCCTGGGGGTATACCTGGGAAGGTTCTGACACAGAAAAGTTTTAAAATTTGGTTTACAATTTCCTGTTTGAAAGAAAAAACAAATTAAAAGCAGAGTTACAGAACATTTTTGTTGTTACAGCAGAGGACAACGAGTTTGAGCTTGTGGACATGACACATATCTTACAACACTCTGCAATAATTTTTCCAAGATTAAGCCAAGCCCACGGGCAAATCTTCCTGTGCCAAGTTTTCCATGAAATGTTGTTTGGAAAATTAAATATCATCATTGTCAGGTCCAAAACCCAGCACTCACCTGTCACCGTTGTTACAGAACTGCACTGCAACCACTTTGTCCTAAAGAGGAGGAAGAACAACAGAAGTGAAAAACTCCGCTTCAAAGATGAGATTTTTATTTAGCAAATTTTTAAAAAGTCAAAAAATTCAAGTACAGAGAAGTTGTATTTGAAGTTAAAACTTCACCAGACAAATTGTGTTAAACACTGAAATAGGAAACTTCAGAGAGATGATGGTTTCCTGCAAATTTACACCTAACGTGAAAGTGTATCAAAAAATTTCATCCAAAAAAAATGCACACCTTGGCTTTATTAACACTCACAAATCTTTGAGAAACAAATGTTATGTTTTAAACACAGTTTTGTCCTTTTTATAGTTTGCCCAATACTTGGGCTGGCTCCATGATTTGCTCTCCTTGCTCCCACTGATGTCTCTATCTCCTGGTAACTGGGATTTGTTTTAGGGGGGGCTGACAGCTGTCTGCAGGATTAAGAGTGGATTTAAAGAAATTAAAGGAATTACAGCTTCTTCCAAACCTGTTCAATACAGAAAACACAATTTTCTTTTGTGAGCAAAATACTTGTTAGATGAGTTCTTGGAGACTTCAACGTGAGAGCCACGACTCCCACTGAAGTTCAGGGAATCAATTCAGACCTTGGGCTTAATCCATAAAATGTTCCTGAGGTGGTAAATTTGTAGTTTGAATTTTTATGGGAAACATTATGAATTATCTGAAAAAAAAAATATGCTTTTAAGCTTTATTTTCTAAATGAAGTTACCATCGGGATCCAAATTTTGACAGCACAATCCAAAATCTGAATTACTTTCCTTATGTGGATGTAACTGAACATTCAACAGAAAGTTTAATAGGAAAAAATGACATTGTGCAATGACATGGTGCATTAAATCTGTTTTAATTCCTCATTCCAACACAGAATCTTTTCAAGAGTAAGGGAAGATCACCTGGTCCTTCAGTTTTCTGGGGAATGAAATACGTAAAGCCTACTTTGCACAACCTCTTGCATCAGAAGGATTTAAAAATAAACATCCCACAAATTTCCAAGCATTTAAATACCACAATGTTGAAAGCCAAACAAATTCTAGACAGTAAATTTAAAAAAAATAGGATGTACAGAAATCAAGTTCCTGAAATGAGGAAAAGGGAGGAGAGAAAAAGAGATTTTCTTTTGGATTTGCCTCTTACCGTATGAGATTCCAGCTCAGCCATTTTCTCTGGAGATTCTGAGCCCAAATAATAAATTCTTATCACGTGGTCAGTACTCCCTGTTGCAATGAACATGCCACCTAAAACAGAGAATTCTCTGTGAGAAGAAAAGTAATCCAAGGAACAACTTAATTTAATTTGATTTATTTTAATTTGCTGCTTTCTTGTCAAACTAGCAAACTAGTTTTAAACAGAAAATTTCACTGTAAACAGGTAAATGTCAAATATAAAATTTAAATGCAGTTTCAATATCTGCTTGACACACATCAGAGACATTATTGCTGAGTTGGGATGCAGTGATTAAGGTATTTTATTGTAATTTCTTTACAATATTGCTCCAAAAGGGCACTATTGTGTGGTTTATTGCATTGAAATGGGTTTAGTTAATTCAGGATTTATAGCTTTAAAAAAAGAGTGTGGCTCTACAAAAACTCTCACTTTCAAAAAGCAAATTTAATGAGCAATTAGATCATTTTCTTTGTAAAAATCAGTATTTTTGCTCATTCAAAGTTGTAAAGGTTTGTTAAGCTGAGATTTTCCAATACATTGAATTGATCCTCTTAGAATTCAGCCAAATTTGGAAGATTAGAAAAAGTGTAATCTTTGACAGAGGATTTCCACAACTTTTCACTCAAAAACTTTACAAGGTAAAGTCTTAAAAGGATGTTACAGAGAAATATTTCTGATGTGCAAAACCAGAGACTGAAAGCCTTGGAAGTGGTCAAGCTATTTTAGCTTAAATTATAGGAAAAAAGAGAAAGAGCAGCTTGAGGCAGGCACTTGGCAGGGAAGATTTCCAATAATCACAATTTGACAGGAATAAAATTAACTGGAAAAGGGTTTAACACTATTTGTATTTAAAGAGAAGTAACAGAACTGTCACCAAAGCCCCAGATTCATGAAACAGCTGATGCTGGACATGTACCAGAACTGAAAGATGAACAGGAGATCTGAACACCAGGCCTGGACCTCTCTGCAAACTTCACAGGACGATCCCTACATGTAAAACACAGTATTTTTATTTTTCTTTCTTTACTCAATACAAACAGTTCCCTGCAGCTCAGCAGGCAGAGGTCAAGCTCATCTTAAATCTCTTAATTTTACATTTCTCACCTATGTTTGACGGAATTTATTTTTCATTTTAGGAATTTCCTTCCTTAGTTTAATAAGAAAACAGTAATTCTGTAAACTGAGAAGATTATTGAACTGATTTATCATTATCCCCACCAGTTCAAATCCTTTTGAAACAGACCCTGCCAAACCATTATTCAATAGCAATTCCCCCTGATTAAATATGGGTTTGATGACATCTACATATGTACATTCTTCTGATTAAAAGCAAATTAATCCTCCTGCTTGTACATTTTGGACAGGGATTTAATCCTGAATATAAAAGCTGGAATTTCTTCCACAATTTTGGCTTGCAAAGCACAAACCTCAGAAATAACAACCCCAATCTCTGCCTCCCCTTTGTGTTCCAACATCACAAAATCCCAAAGTTCTCCTGCCCTACAAACCAGTTTATTGAGCAAGAAAACACCCTTATTTCATTATCTCAGCATTTTTCTCCATGCCACAATTAAAAATAAATTCCTCCTTGAGTTGAAATAATTGTAATTATCTCAACAGTCTCACTTGAATTTCATGGTGCTCGCATGCCACTGCCAGAAACAGATTGTTCCGTCGGCACCAGTGGAAGTGAGGTATCGAGTTGTTCCTTTCCTTGCTGGAGAGAACTAAAAATAAAAGTTGTAACAATTAAACCAGCTGCTATTTTCTCTTCTTTCACGCTTGAAACTTGTTGACAAGAGTGTTTTTCACTAACAGATTAGTTTCTCCCCAGGAGTATAGAGAGCAGAGGTAAGCACAGAACCTGAACTTCCATAAAAATAAAGTTAAGGAAATGGAAAACACCTACATTTTGGTTAAGAATTCTTTGGTTTTTACCACACAAAGGAAACTGGAGAAATGAAACAAGTCCAGACCCTGTAAATGAGGCAAAACCAGTTCTTTCTAGGATAGAACTGGATAAAACATGGCAAATACAACTATTCCTGTATCCAAGCCCAATGAAGAACAGCTGCACAGCAGGATCTCCTCTCCTCTATCTTCTTAAACCTCTCTAAGGAGCGGGAAAGCTTTTTAGTCCTAATTTCATAACTGCAGCAATACCTTTAATCCTTAGGCTACCTGGTAATTTGGTAAAGGAATCCAGCACTGCTTCCTCAAAAAGCAGTGACTGATTATATTTTAAATTATATTATAAAACTTTCAGTTTTACAAAGAGCTTGAGAGAAACACACATATATGTACATACATATACATGTAAACAAATAATGCACCAGTTATAAAGCCAGGTTGGAAAATACATTTCTAACACAATCACCTTTACATGGTTGAAATCAGATAAAACGGGGAGTGTAGGGAAGATGGGGAGAAATGAGACTCCTGGGGAATACTGGCACGATGGAGAAGCCTGTGCTGAATCCAAGGCAGCACCACTCCAGGAGACAGAGATTCTGAGCCAAACAGCCCCACTCACTCTCCCCTCTCTGTGCATCACCTGCCAAACTGCAGGGATTGTCCTTTTTATCCTGGAATTTTGTTTTTTTCGAAGGCTTGTGGCAGTTGTGAATGTTTTATTTAAAAAAAAATCTGCATTTGCTACAACATCCAGAGCAGCTCTTTAAGCTACAAGCTAAGATAACAATGAAACAAGAAACGGGGAGTAAGGAATTTTAACTGATCTTTCTCAGTGAACACAAGAGGGGTGGGTCAGATGCTGTGCCAGGAGCACAACCAAAGATGCCAAACACATCAGTGAGCTGAGCCAAGGAGATTCTGCTGCTCTCTGAGCTGCTCTAAAAGAGCGTCAGATCACCCATTTTGTATACCTAAGGAAGCAGCAGTGGGATCACACAGCTAAAAGCACATGGAAACAGGAGAATCATCCCCTGGGCACCACAGGATTGAGTTAACCAGGAAAAACACCCTTGAGTTGGGACAAATCACAGACACAGCTCTTATTACCGTTCTAATTGCAGGGTTTTGGGGAAAAGCCCATCAGTCCTTACCTGTATGGAAGTGATGGAGGCTGAGTGGCCCTGCAGGACGGCCAGGGGGGCGCAGGTCCGGAGGCACCACACCCTGACCACCTTGTCGCAGCTGCCCGCGGCCAGCAGCGTGTTCTCGTAGTTGACGGCCATGTCCGAGATCTCGGCCGAGTGGCCCCGCAGCGTGGACAGCAGGCGCCCGTCATCCGTGGCCCAGATCTTCACCAAACAGTCATCTGAGCCCTGAAATTCCACAGGCGTTCCCAAGGGTTACAGAAAATATGGGATGTGTCCCATGCACGTCACACACGGATCACCGCGGATGGACAGGGATCACAACCCCCGTGAACTGACAGGACAACTCTGTGGGATTCCACAGAGGCCAATTTTAGGAAGAAATTCTTCCCTGTGAGGGTGGGGAGGCTCTGGCACAGGGTGCCCAGAGAAGCTGTGGCTGCCCCTGGATCCCTGGAGGTGTCCAAGGCCAGGCTGGACGGGGCTTGGAGCAGCCTGGGACAGTGGAAAGGTGTCCCTGCGAAATATTCCATCCCATCCAAACCATTCTGGGATTCTATGATTCTATGAACTGTAGAGCCTGGGAATCATCTTATGGAATCAAGGATTTCAATTTGATAAGAGAGAATTATGGAATCACAGGATGGTTTATGCTGGAAAGGAATCTATTTGGAAGGCAGGGACACCTTCCACTATCCCAGGTTGCACCAAGCCCCATCTAACTTGGCTCCAGGGATGAGGCAGCCACAGCTCTTTGGGCACCTTGTGCCAGGCCCTCAGCACCCTCACAGAGAGGATTTCTTCCCAATATGCCACCTAACCCTCTCCTCTGGCAGTGGGAATTCCTCCTCGTCCTGTCACTCCATGCACAGGGATTAACATTAACAGCTAAAAATGCAACATTCATTTGAAAAATCTGTTGATTTTTAAATATACCCAAGAAAAAGCAAGGACATCACCACAGAAATGGATGTCACTGCATTCTAATAAAAAACTTAAAATAATTGTCATGTATTCACTGAGACACTACAAATCCAGGAAGGTAAATTTAGTAGAAAAGCAACTTGCAGCTGAACAGAGTCATATCTCCATCTCTATCAGTGACTAAGAGGAACTCAAGAAATAAAGAAATCAAACCAAACAAAGCAATCACTGAAAAGAAAAAGGTCCAAAATTTAAGCTTACTGTAAAAATTCTCCTCCCACTGCGATCAAAGGCAATGCAATAAACAGAGGAGAGGTGTCCCAAAATCCTCTTGTGCATCTTCATGTGTTGGTAGGTGGATGTTGGGAATAAGTGGCTGAAACGGCCACATCCAGTTAATTGCCTGGCAGAAAGGATATGAACTGGGAGAGAAAAAAGAAGCAAAAAGAAGAGTGAGACATGAATTTTCTCCAGAACTCAGAGTAAATAAATATTAAATCAAATACAGTATTTATTAACAACTTTATTATTAGAATTGGTAATAAATCTGAACCTCTTCCACCTCATCAGAACATTTTGTCCAGTGTTATAAAAAGAAATACCACTCCTGATGGAGACTTTCAGTACCCACCACAGGCTGCACCTGCTTCCTTACCAAAAATATAAGCAGAATGAAAAGTTCCCACCACAACTGGGAATTATTCCAATGTTCAATTCATGAACAGGTAACAGATACACTTATCCTACACAGATGTGGAAAATCTTTAAGGAAAGTCTTTGAAGGACGTAAAGAAATTTTGGAAATTTAGGAAATTACATGCTACTAATATAAATTACAAGAAGAGTATAATAATAGTTTATTTAAAGTGTTTTTTTGGTGATAAAAGAAGTGATAAAAGGTGATAGAAATCTTTCCTTGGAAGGGCTTCCAGATCATAGGTAGGGCCAAAGGACTTCCACATCCACATCCTTGCATTCCCATGGCAGTGGAATTGAAGAACAAGAAATGGAAAACTCCCAGTGGAGGAATGGCAGCTAGGAGAAAGAACTGCAACCACAACAAACTCCTTCCTGTTTCCATAGCCAGCAGTCCTTGCAAGAACAGCCTAAAACCTAAATGCACCAACCCACCCTGTAAAAAAGCCTTTGATTGGATGCACAATTTGAGACCATTTTGGGGGTATTTAATTTCACCAATTCTCTCCTATTTCTATCTTCCCTATTTATCCTCACTCACAGCACTTGAACTTTGGATTTGAAAGTTTTGAGAGGGTTTTTCAGTGGCACTTGAGGATCTAACAGAGCTGTGCTGGTGGGTTTGTGGAGTCCTTGTGATAGCAGATCCCCTGGAGCAATTCCTTATCTTCCCCTGCACCTTGATGTGGGCTGGGCTTCACAGGAGCCCCACAAAGCTCTTTAGTGCCTTTCACTCCTTTAGCTTAAAAGTCTACTGAAAAACTCGAGCCACATCTTAATTGTCTCATGATATCGCTGCCAATCTACCCTAAAAAAGATCATGGAATACATTAAAAAATTAATCTACAAAGTCAAGAAGTGCCATTTCAAAGAGTTCCTAACCCATAACTCCTTGTGTAAATGGATACCATTGAAGTATTTACACACAAGCAAGGAAAATAAATTGTTTCCAGCTTTAAAGAAAGCATTTTTGTGTCTCAGTTTTAGGTTCTGAAATGTGGATTATTTTTAATCACTCAATGCAATTGAAACATGACACGAGGGAAAAAAAGCTGCATAAAAGATGCTTGCAAAAGCCATCAGGCTCCAGCATAACCTCACCTTCAGTCAATATTTGCTTTGCATGTAAAAACACATATTCAGCAATACTAAAAAGCAAAACACACTAAAGCAAATTAATTTACTACCTAACTATTATTCAGCTGATACCTAATATTATACAGGGCTGTTAAACTTAACTGTCTCCCTGAGCAAAGTAAAACTGAAATTTTACACTCTTTTTCCTACCTCTAACCCAGAGATCCTGCAGTGATAAATGCTCAAGGTACCTCAGGCTTGCTACACATTATTTTATTTACTCATTGAGTATGACAGCTTAAAAGCTGATTTCTTAAAAAGATTACACCTCCCTTTCCCCTACGGAGAGACGTGGAGTCATTCAGCAACATGGTGATTCTGCTGTGCCTTTCAAGGTTTCAAGCATTTCAATACATATATATGTATATATTTAAATACATAATAACAGTGTATCTGCCTGTAAGCAATTTCAAATGGCTCTGAATAGTTTTTTAACCACACAAAGAACTGTGTGAATCAAAAAGATACACTCTCATGTCAAAATATTCCTAATAATCACAATATTTTCTGAGTCCCCCTGCAATCCTTCTGAACATTTACCACTGCTGCTTGTTGTAAATCCCATGAAGGAAGCACCAAAAGGCACCAAAATCCCAGTTTTGGCAGCTCACTTTTCCGGTCGATTCCCAGCCTTGCAATCAGTTCAGCTTCAGAGGATATGAAAGTAATTTATTTTTTTTCTTTTCTGTGTTTATTTCCCTATTTGCACAATGGGGATAAAACTTCTCCATCTCCCATGGATAATTACCAAATAAAAAGCCCTGTTTATGAAATGCTTCAATCAGAGACATCCAGAACTATTGTTGAGCCATGAGGAGCAACAACTTTATCAAGGCAACAGCAACTTTGGACAAAAAAAAACCTATCACTGCTTCAAAGGAACAAAGCAAACATTCTCCATTCCTGTATTTTTAGGAAGATTAATACACAATATCTAAACAGGGAATTACCCCCACATGACAAAAATCCCTGTCAAGTTTCCTTTCTACAGCACAATGAAGTTATTGTCCTCCTAAGGCCCCAAAGCACTTAAACCCAACAATTCCCACATGGAGAAATAGCAACTTAGTAACCCTAAAAAATTTTACTAACCTATCTCATTAACTGATGTATTTCATGCCACACTGGATGTAAGAGCTGCCAAGTCCACCCCCTCACTATTCCCTGCCAGGAAAAACTTTCGAGACAGTTATTTCCCACAAAAAGGGAGGAGATCCAGCCTTCTTGATAAGAAAAGTTAATTTTGTCCCAACACTGAAGGGCCATCTCAGCTCCTCCAACTACCAACCTGCAAAACACAGACATTTTTCTCTTTTTTCCCCACAGTCCTTGGTCCTGGAAGGCCACACCTTGAGGAAAATTCCAGTCTTTAATGCAAGTCACATAAGCTGATAACAACTCCTAAATCACAATTTACCTCACATTCTACTATAGGTAATGGCACAATGTAAAAATCCTTGCAAGAAAGCTCACCTAAAAAGTATAAACCCCAAACCCAGCAACAACAACCCACCAGTGAAAGCTGGATTTGAAAAACAATCATCAGACAGCCCAGACTTCAAAGTTAAATCACAACCCCAGAAGGAATTCAAGCATTTCAGTGAGGCAAAGTCACTGAGCAGCACCAGCTGGAATTCCTGCTCTCCCTAAAAACCCTTGTCTCCATCCACTTTTTGCAAGGAAATGGGAAAAGTGGTGCAAATGTTTGTTTTAAAATCAGTTTCTCGGGGGTGATGAGCTGCTGTCAGACTGTTTCACCTTCTGCAAGAAGCAGTGTGACTTTGTAATGAGGACCTAGATTTTGCCCTCATCACAAATCCGAGCAGGGATCGGGTACTACTCACAGGAGTTTCATAGGAATGCCAGGAAACAAACACAGTTGGCTCCCACATGCAAAACACCTTCTCAGAGAGTGGCTGTGTGGCCACAAAGAGCCTGGACCCAGGAAAAGCAGCAAAAGCACAGCTTGTTCCAGCTCTGGGAGCTGCTGACCACATGGAACTCATTTCCAGCACGAACCATCATCGATTCCTGACCTCATCCCAGTGCTGCTCTTTGGCAGGCCCAAGGTAGCTGCATCACCTTGACTGTGAATTTCCACCCAGCTGAAATGCTTATTCACACCGAGACTGAGCTGAAAACCTTCTGCTTCCAAATTCTGTCTTGTTTTCACTAACAACAGCTGCCCACAGAATGATTTCCATCCTCAGGTTAGAGCAGCTCTTAAAGAGTGAAAACAACCTTCTTTCGAATCTGCTCTGAGCTGCCTGCAAAAAAAAACCAACAAAAAACAAACAAAAAAACCCCAAAAAAAACTAAAAAAAAAACCCAACACCCTAACAAAAAAGAAGTAGCATCAAAAGCAGGTTTATCAAAGGGGAATCACTCCCAGTCCTGAGGTACTGCATGACCAGTCTTTCCACTTTCTGTCTGGAAGAGCACAAAGGGAGCCCTGAAAGTTCCACTACAGCAAAAGCTTCCCAGAAAGGCTCAAGCAGCCTCTCCTCCTCCTTGTCATCCTGCTGGCAGCAGAAGCTCTGGCAGTGTTTTCCCTCCCTGTCCCCCTCCAGCAGATCACCACAGCCCCAACACACAGGCACCACATCCCTGGGAATGACTTCCACAGCTCAGCACTTTCCCAGAGACTCCCCCAGCCAGAAGATGCCCAGCTCTGCACAAACAGGCTGGGGAAAGGCAAACAAGGATTTCCTGCTCCAGTTCCACCATGCAGGACCTTTTATTTCGGATTATGGACCACAAAGTCCCATCCCAACCACATTCTCTCCATATTTGTGATGGAAAGCTTAAATCCTTATCACTGGAAGGGAAATGATGTGAGAATACTCCTGGCTGCTCATCCTATACCTTATTTAACAATCTCCTCACTCCTGAATACACATTAATGTGTGTCTTTTACTTCAGCCCAACTCCTTCAGCAAGTAATTCCAGAAAAGTCCATCTGCCTGAGCCAGTACAGTGTGAGAATTCACAGTTATGCCAAAATACCAAAGAGGTCAGGCACACTTCTTCATCTTGTACTTAAGACACACACACTGCAGCACCTCTGCTGGCACCACTCACCAGGAGAAAAACATCCATTTTGCACAAATAGACACAGCATTTTCTGACCTCCTGTTAAGGATGAATAAGGAATCCCAAAATCAAACTCCTGCCTGAAGTCAAATCCTTTTTTTAATATTTATGCACATTCTCCTCTCCTAGTAGTAGTTTACATAGCTACACCAAGGACTGTATTCTTCCAGGAATCAATTCTTATATAAATGATTTCCTGCCTATGAAAGACCCTTTTCCATATAATACCTTTGCATTTCTTAAAAGAAAAAATAAAAAAACTAGGAAAACACCCAAACAAAAAAAAACATTATTCTGTTCTTTAATTCACTAGTTACCAAGCGAGCAGCACAGTCCTTTGCCATGAAAGCATGACAAATGCTGAAGTCCAATCTGCCAGGATGCCTCATTAATAATACCACATATTCCAAAAACACCCAGTCTGATGAAAGAATTGATCCAAGAACCCATGCAGAAATCCAATCAGAGGAGTTGTGTTCAATAAATCTACAATTCAGACTATTAGTAATCCATCAGCACAACTGCACACAGTAAAGTAACTGCAGAACCACCCTAAAATAATAAACACACAGATAGGACAGAAACAGAAAGCTGCCAGCACCATCCCTGCTTCTCCAAAGGGAGGGAGGATCCATATGTGAAAGGACTCCCTGACAAACCAGGAAAATGTATCCATTTACACAGAGATAAAATGCCCTAAAAAGAAACAAACCAGGATTTACTTTTATGCTTGCAAGAATCAATTTTTTTTTGCTATAAAAACAGTTAATGAAAGTTCAAACCATACAAGGCAAACACTTGAGTTTATATAAAACAGAGCAGCTCTGTGATGAGATGTAAGCTGAGAGCCCACATATATCTGAGTTTTATACAAGCTCTTTATCTAATTGTGTGGACAACTGAGGCTGAAGGAACACAAATGTTGCTTTGGTGATTATTTCCTTTTTGGAGAGGGATGTTGCAAGCAGCCTGTTTTCTGTCATAATCCAACTGAAAGGAATTCTTGAGTCAAGGAAGCTCCCTGGGAGCCAGACGCTTTGCTCTGGTTGGGATTCCATGATGACTCCAGGACTCCATGCTCCTGAGACCATGCCCATCCTATCTTACAACCACCTGCACATATTATGGACACATATCACCAAAAAATACTCAAGCCCATCGCCTTCTAAACAAGCATGCAAAACACGGCTACACACACTGTGGAAAATCTGTGCCTAAAAATTATCCTATTGTCGGGTGAGACCTATTTTAGATTAATTCATCATGAAATGCCAGAGAAAATATTAATGCAAACCCAGAGTAGTGTCTTAGTCAGTGAGAGGAACTTTCTGTGGGACAGGAATAAATACAGAGAGGAGAAAAGAACCTTTTATGGACTTCCAGACTCACCCACGTTTGGTGGTTTCCCGTAGTTCACCGGGAGTTCGGGGGGTCGGCCCCTGTGCAGAGCTGCAAATGCAGATCCTTTCCATAGTGTGTGTCTGAAGTCTGCACCAGCAGGAGTGACAAGAAATCATCAATACATTAAATAATCAAGAGATCAAGCACTACTCCCAACAGCCCAGAATAAGATTTGTTTGATTAAACAGTTTGTCAGATTCCTCATTTAAAGACTGCGACTCTGATTTCCAGTTCCTCAGCAGTGTCACTGTAAATGGTTTCAATTTATTTTTGCTTAATTTGGGTGATTATTGACTCTAAATCCATGAAGGGAAAAATTTAAATGAATTTTAAAAACTTAAAATTAATTTAAAAAGTGGGTGCACTTTTTATTGAGGCCAAACTGAACTGTGCCATATTTTCCTTCTGCAATGCCAACACTTAAAGCACTTCTGCTTAGGGACTGCACATTTGAGATTTCACATTTTGCTGCCTAAAAGTGAGAGAAGTGAGGATTTTTTCCAATAAATCTGTTTTCCTGCAATATGTGGCAATGTGCCCTCCTTTCAGATTGTCCTCTGCACCCCACCCCCCAAAAAAAATCATTGTTTTAAAGTGAAGAGTGTTCTCTTTAAAGACTCTCCAGCCTGCTGCTGCCAACTGGCCTCAGAAAGGCTCCTCTCTAGAACAATAGTGATTTTTCTGAGACTGTTCAAAGTGCCTCAGAAATTAGACCTGGATTTCTTCCATTTCTGGCCATCTGGAGGGAGAGAAATGAGCTTCCACGGTGAGTAAGTGCTGAAGCAGAAGGACAGTGCCGCAGGTTGGTGGATCTGTGTAGCACCATGTAGGTCTCTGAACATGAAGTGCACAAGCTGAGGTGACTCAGAGACTCCTGAAAGCACCTTCTGATTAAACCCCAAACTGCTGCACAGAGTATTAAATGATACTCATTAAAAACAGCACTCAGACTTCCTAAAATAGATCCATCCACCTAAACCCTTCTGTTTCCCTGCAGAAAAATGTTTATTTTCTCTTTACATTTTGCTGCTGTTTCCTTCTAAGCTGCAAACTGAGTGTGAAACTAAAGAATGTTTCTCTGCAAACCTGAATTTCTGCACCTAATTACAGCAAAGCACGGGCAAAACAAGACCCAGTCCAAAACTCTGTAGGGCAATGTGTTTGGGAACAGCTCATCCCTCCAGGAGATATCCAATGGATCAGCAGATGCTCAGCAGCATCACGGTGTGACTTCACAGGATGCAGGGAATTAAGTGCTCAACTGCCACCAAAACAGGAAGGTCCTGCTCTGCCATCCCTCCTCCTCTCCCAGGATGATGCTCCTCCTCCTGTGTCACCTCCAGCCCTGTGATCCTTTCCCACCAGCTCATTTAATTCACTACAACAAATTTTGCAACATCTCAGCTCTCTGAATCAGCACATCAGAGGATCAGGGAAGTTCTGGCTCCTGCAGGGAGGAAGTGGCAGGGGCACGGAGTGAGGAGGGAAGGAGGAATCACTTCAATAGCAGATGGTTTTCAGATCTCTTTAGTTCTAACACAAAACTGCTCTCAGGATCATTCTCCCAAGCAGAGAGAGTTTTTCAAAGGGAAAAGGACTGGTGCTCTCTTCATGAAAGGAATGGAGGCTTTTAAATTAACTTGAAGCAAGGAGAAGCAGGAATTGTCACTAACGAATCAGCCTGGCCTTCTCCTACTCCCTAAAAGCTGCCCCAAATGTCACCACCCTGACCTGTGTATACACAGCCAGGGAGTCAAAGAATGGAAAAAAAACAGGCTGAAAAATAGCCCAGCTCTGGATTTTAGACACAGATGTGTGCAAATGTACATGGAAAAAATGGCATTTTTCAGACGCATCAAACCCCTAATCCCGTTCACATCATTTACACAAACACCAACACACTGGGGAAGGAGGCAGAGGAAGTAACAAGATCAGGCAACTGTAGGCAAGAATTGCTTAAAATGGAATTTTCAACCCAAGAAAACACATCCAACAGGGCCAGCAACAACTGCATTTTAGAAAGAAAAAAGCTGGCAAGCACAGGAGACAAAGCAGGGCTAATGCAAACACACAGATAACTCAACAGGAAAGGCAACAAAAGGGGGTTAATCATTAAAACAGAACTCAAGCCCATATAAATTGAGAATCTTACCTTTTGCTGCCCTCAGGAGAGACTGACGCCCGACACCCAGCAAAGTCTGCACCCCCAGAACACTCTGAGGGATTTCCTTGTCCAGGAGGGGTCCAAGTCTCTCACAGATCCTAAGAAGATAATCTGGAGGGATGTGTGCATTGACAGCCACCTAAACACACAAACAACAGACATTTGAAAACTGGTTTCTTTTTCCTTCTACTGGTAGTACTTCGCTTCATGTTTAAGTGTGAAGTTGCTGCAACCAAGCCTAAACCCCCTGTAAACCCCCTCAACATTAACTATACTGCATTTTAAAGTGGAGTGTTGCAAAAGCCACACCAGAAATTTCAGGTTGTAACAGCGTAATTGTAAATTTAGGATATCCCTTCATAAGAAACAAAAATCCCCAGTGCAGTGCTCTGCTCAAACAACTTTTTAAAGCCTTTTTTACCTTTCAGTTCATTCTCTTCCCATTTTTGCTTAACTGAAACACACTTGCATTGACATCACGGTATGAAGCATATGTGCAGAAGAATAAAAACCTTAAAAATTATATAAAATCCCTAAGTATTACCCTAAAATCAATACTCAGTCTCCATTCCCAGCTCCTGGGAGTAGGTACCTTTAAGACCCACATGTGTAGACTCCAATTTTGTCATGTTGGGAGAACATCCTTTATTTTTCCCTTTGGACAGAGAATGAATGACAACAGTTTTTCTAACAGTCTGTTCAAACAACAAATAAATTGTGTCTCATTATCCAGAATGTCCTGCACTGCCTGACTTCTATATTTACAAATTGGCAGGAAAAGCTGCCCATCAGAGCTCCTTTGACACAGGACACACAGCTCCATCCACCTCTTTCCATGGATCAACAACAGCCTCCTGCCTGCCCAGGTTCCAGGGATGTGCCCAGCACACAGGAGGGAGGGCCAGGCACCAGGAAGGAGAAGAAGGTCTGTAATTCCCTCAGCCCTGCTGCCAAAACATTGCACACTCAACTGTGTCATCAAACAGATTATTAGCACACGTCATTGGGAATTTTTTTATTCTAATTGGGCAACAGCAGTGGAGCTACAGGACCCAGCAGAGCCAGGCAGGGCTGGAGAACGTCACCACCTTCACCATGAGCTGGATCAACACCATCCCATAATTCACATTTTAACAAAAAAGAAATGGAAAATGCATCTGATTAAATATACAAATTACCAGTTAATTAAATATGACTAAAAACTCTTCCAGTGTGAATGGAACTTGGGAGAAGAGACAGGTTCCTCACTTTACTCATCCCTCAGTCACTGCTGGTTAGAGAATCATCTCATCAATCATGATGATTCTAAAGATTCAAAATCATCATTTTTTCAGTGCAGGAATGAGAAGCCTGATGAGTGCATTACCATGTTCTCATTCCAAGAATTTTCATCCTGTGAGTGAGCATCAAGGAATGATCCTGTCAATGCTCTCCTGTTCTGACAGGATTCTCCAGTCATTTTAGCTTTTTTCCCTAAAATCAGAGTTCTGAAATTATATTGGCACCTTTCCAGTGGTACAACCAGTGAAGTTCAGTGTATGAGCATGAATTGTCTCTCACTGTCAACGATGGGATAAAACAGAAATTGAAATGAGAGAAAAGGGTTATCCAAACTTTGGTATTTGCCTCTTATTCTGACTCATTCCTGAAATACTGTAAATGTGTTTATGCTACAAAATATTTTATGATGCTGCAGCAGCCTCCCTTCATTCAGCATGTTAGATTTCTGAAAGGGAAGTTCTAGAGACAGAATCTGCAGTTAAGTAAAATCTGAATATGAAATTCTTACTTCCTTCTCTGATAAGCAGCAACAAGCCCCTCAGTAACCAACTGCCAACACACAGTGATGTATCAACCTCAAGATTAAAAGATCCAAAAGACCAACCTAGAAGCTCTGAAATTTTGCTTCCAGAGCACCAAAATAACCCAAACCATACCATTCTCACTGGTAATGTAAAAAATCCAAACCATTTTCCCAGTGCAGCACAGCAAACACTCCCCTTTTCACACTGGAGCTGGTTTGGGAGTTTTACAATATTCTGTGCCTAGGAAGGTGCTGAATTAAGCCTGGCAGCAAATATCCCACTGCAGAGACAGAGCCCAAGGTGTTCCACAAGCAGTCCTGACTACCTCCAAAATGGAAAAGGACTTGGTGGCTTAAAGATGAAGGCACAGTTTTATAGGGAACAGCATAGAGCAAACACTGACACACGTTGGGCCCGACAGCATTCCCTGATCACACTCCTTTCCCTGCACATTCCCTTTTTTCTACAACCCACAACAGCCCCAAATAAGCAGCCCTTAATCTGAATATTAGCACTGCTGTTACTAACAAACAGCTCCATAGGCAGGCAGCAAGAGCAGCAAATTCTCCTGGTGATTTTTTTTCCATAATAACTTCCAGAAAAAAAATGCTTAAATCACAGCCCAGAGCTAAACAAGAAATTCTATTTTCAGGTTCCCAGAAGAACTTGAATCAAAAATCCTTCTTTTCACCTCTGAGAGAGTTGTAAATGGATTTTAAGTATTTTTCTAGAACATGAAGCTGCAAACATCCAGCTGAAAAAACCAACATTTTCCAGATCAGATTTTCCTTAAAAGAAGGATGGAAAAAGGCAAAGGTACAGCTACACCTCTTAGTGTGTGCTCATCCAAATCCCACGTGGCAAAATGAAACAGCAGCAAGGATATTATCAGCTCCTCAAATATATTAGAAAATATTTTGAAATATATTTAGAAAATAATCAGAAAACTGGAAAAAATTAGAGATGAGTAATACAGGCCCAAAACCATGCATGTTAAAATAATGCAAAGCTAAAAAAACGTGCTAAGTGAGAACAAATGTTGCATCTTGGGATAAATCATAAAGAAAATATGTTTTGTTGCCTTGGGATGTGAAAAATCCTATAAAAGTTAAAATATAGGGGCACAAGAACGCAATAGAACCAGATGATTTCTCTGACACAGTCACCACACAGGTACAATGAATCTAAAAAGTGAAAGATTAAGTGAAGCCAATCCATTCTTTTTAAAAAACTCTCCCAGTCCTGACTGCTTGAGCCAGGCTGAGATAAGCTGCTCCAGTGATAAGCACAAGGAAAGAACTATTAGTGAAGTCACATCAGGGCTGGGAGAAATTCAACCCCTAAACCTGCTCATGGTCCTGTGGTTGGAAGCATCACCTCGGAGACTGGAGCTGGGACAAGCAGCTTCTGTATCCCTGAAACAAAATCCCCTGGTGTGACTCTGATCCCCGTTTGGACAGTGCCCTCAGGCATGGGGTGGGATTCTTGGGGTGTTTGGGCAGGGATAGGAGCTGGATTTGATGATCCTTGTGGGTCCCTTCCAAGTCAGGAGTCTGTGATTCTACAGCAGCTGACAACTCCTCCTCTAAGGAAGGTTTCAATAAACAGGGAACAAACAAACCAAAAAACACTCTTTGTGATTACTACTTAAAGTAAGGTGTCTGTTGTGCCAGAGGTGGGAAGAAGGGAGCTCTGGGAACCATCTCTTTTGGGAAGCCCAGTGGAACATCTCTTCAGAGCACAGATTTGAGGCAGGAGCTGCAGGCTGGAACGAGGCAGCGACGTGGCCCTTCGGAGGCTGCTCTGTCCCCATTCCTGCTGGGCAGGCCCAGCAGTGCATTTCTCTCCTCCAGGTAGTCATCCAACACTTCTCTCATTTGCCAAAATAACCATCAATTAAGAATCAATTGACAACTGTATCAAAAAGCAGTGGAGGAGGCCAAGAGGCCAAGGCAGCTGAGCAAGCAGGAAATTACTCCTGACCTCAAACAGGGAATCTCAGCAAAAAGAAGCTCAGACACTGGACCTGCACAAAATGCTAACAATATGCAAACAGACTGGAATTAAAAAAGCCTTTACCCACTGGGGTCCCTGGAGAGAACAGCTTGGAATGACCATGCTACCAGATGACATTTTCCTGAAGTGACAAAACCGTAACATCTCTGCTCTGCTAATGCTGGGATTGGCAGGATCTATAAATACCAGCACCTCGGACTCAGGGCTAGTTTTAAATCAATGCAGATGGGCAAGGCAGGAACTCGGAGCCAAATCCCATAAGCTGTTCCATACCAGCACAGCCGCTCATGGATGTAAATTCCCCACTGTCCAACAACAGCTGATTTTCTGTTTTGCCTGGAATTACATGTTTTTCAGCACAAAGACCAAACCAAGCTGAGCCAGAACACTCAGCCTATCAGAAAGTTCTTAAAACCAGAGCAGAGCCAGTCACCTTTATCAGGAATAAACAAAGATAATGTGGAACAGCAGGTCACTGGAGACTGTGCTGATAATCGGAGTCGTTCAGCTCAACTCATCTGTACAGCAGCTGACTCCACACCGAGCTGCTGTGGCTCATTTAAAACCAGAGCACTAATTGCCTGCAAGTTGGACACACTTCAGACCTTCAAAAGGCTGGGCTGGATGGGGCTTGGAGCAACCTGGACCCTGCCCATGGCAGGGGGTGGAATGGGATGGGCTTGAAGGTCCCTCTCAACCCAAGCCAGTCTGGGATTCTGTGATTCACGGACCCTCCCCTTTACAAACACATCTCGTGCCTCAAGACCACCAGCAGTCTGTGAGAAAGTAAAGCCACTGTGGAGTACACGTGGAGAATTCAGCCTGGAGAAGAGGGAACTGAGGGGAATCACTGGGGGGCTGCAGCTCCTCCTGAGGGACAGCTCCAATTTCTCTCCCTGAGAGAGGGAACAGGACCCAGGAATGGCTGGAAGTGTGTCAGGGACATTTAGGTGGCGATCAGGGAAAGGTTCTTCCCCCACTGAACAGGCTCCTCAGGGAATGGACACATCCCCCAGCTGGCAGTGCTCCAGGAGGGTTTGGACAGTGCTGCCAGGGATGTTGGGGTGTCTGTGCAGGGCCAGGAGCTGGACTGATGGTCCTGTGTGTCCCTTCCAGCTCAGGATACTCTGTGACTCTGTGATTACCTACACAGGCAGCCACATGCTGCAGGCAAAAAGTGCTCCAACGTGAAAATAAACAGGAAAAACAAAGGGAACACAAATGCACATAAACTTGCATTCTGTGTGGTTTTGCCCCATAGGTACGATTCTTATTAGTCTGTCTTAAATCACTCGTCTGCCCTGTGATACCTGATATTTAAAGTAAAAGATTAGGTTTATTTAATAAAAAAGGAACAAAGACATTTCAGTGAGCTTTCAGATCTTGCCTAAAAACTTGAGTGAAGTGGGAGTAAACATTCCCTAGATAAAGACCATCCAGTGGCCATTGGGCTGTTCCATCTTTATCACTCCCAAAAGCCCAGGAGAAGTAACAATAGACTCAGTGGTCACAGTGTTGGCATATTTTCTGAAAAACACCACTTGGAACCTGAACAGCCACAGCGAGGATGGAAAACAAAGCTGAAACAGCAGAACAAGAAATACTCTGTCTGAATATTGGGCAAACAAACAAATCAGACTTCTCTGGGTTGTAAACTCTCATGAATTCAATTACCTGCCTGACCAGAGTAGCTGCACCACCCAGCTGAGATTGTAAACGATTTTGGGTTTCTGGCTGAAAAAAGCAGAAAAGGATAGGAAAAACCCCTTTACCTCCAACTGCTGGCACCTCCAATTTAATTTTGGTTCATTATGTGCCTGAGATAATTAAAATGAAGGTTGGAGTGCTTTGTGTCCTTCACAACCCTGGCTCTGTTCTGATCATTGCATTCAGACATCCAGCCAGCCTGAAGTCGAGGAGCTCAGGTTAATAAACAATCATATGCAGCCAAAAGTCCAAATTCCAAACACAGCAAACCCTAAGCAATGAGGGAGAAAAAGCCTTTCTTCAACGTCCTTAACACTGAGGATTCAGAGACAGAAACTCAGCTCATCCCACCTGGCATCAACCTGCCCCACTGTAAGGATTCATTTATAATCCTGGTCCTTACTGTAAACCATGAGAAACAGTTAAATAATATTATATAAAAGGGCAAACTAAAAGCATTGGTTAGTGCTGATTAGTTTAAGACATAGGGAAAAAAAATCTTAAATTTAATTATGATATGAGTTTATACAGAAATAAGAAATTTCCCATTAACTCCAAAACTCACGTCAAAACTATTTTTCTCCAATTTCTGAAATGTTAAAGAAAAGTACGTTTCAACACGTACACGCACACATTTAAAAAAAGATTTTAAGGTTTCAAGGCTTTTATATCTGTGCCACAGAGAATAAATGGAAAAAAAGTGTATGTTAATCAAAGTGATAGGCAAAACCACTCTGTCTGACACCGGACTTCACAGTGGCACTGCAAATATTCCTCCTGGATATTGGGTGCAGTCCCACGTTAAACCTGAGACAGCCCAGTTAGATTTCAGATTCTCTAGAAGACCACAGAGCACCAAAATTTATTGACTGCAGAACTTACTCTATGTCTGCTCACTCAATTTACAGTTCCAGAATTATCCACCAGAGGTGTGAGGAAGCCCAGCTTCCACCTGAAATTCTGAATAGGCTTTAGAAAGGGAAAGGCAGCTGGACCAAAGGTCTCCTCTGGGCACAAGGAGTTCTGTCCACACCTGAGCTCCGACAATGTTGCTAAAGTGGAGTCAGATGCAGAGGAGTTTGAGCAAGAGTCGTGGCAAAATCCCACGTCACTGTTGCTCCACGGAGCCGGGAGAGGCCGGGACGTGCTTCCCATTCCTTCCAGGTGAGCTGCCAGCGCTGGGCACAGGTATCAGCGCTAGAAACGCTGTGGGGAACTTTACAGCCTTCCAACTGCAGAGTGCTACATCAGCGCCACACGTCATTGCCCACAGCTCCCAGAAATGAAACCAAGGCCGCCCGGGCCCTTTGGAAAAGGACAGGAACGGCTTTAATTTTGTCACTGTCACACAGACACATCTCGGGGGGCGCGGGCCAAGGGCCACCTCCCAGCCCCGGCCTTGCGGCGGGACTGACCTTCCTCAATGACACACATTCACAGCGTTTAGCACTCAGCCAAAGCAGCCACCCCGTGTATTTCACGGGCATTTAACAGCCACAACACCGCACTTCCTAACCCCTCCTTTCCTGCCTGACAGCAGGCCCAGACACCGCGGAGAGGGGCGGGTTTCGCGCAGGCCGCCGCAGGCCGGGAATCCCTGACCCAGCCCGGCAGCGCCGGGCCCGGTGGCACGTCCGGCACGTCCCCCCCCGCCGGGCCGCGGGAGAGCGGCCGAGCCCGGCCCGGAGCGGGGCAGCCCCGGGGCCGCGGGCCGGGCGGCGGCGATGGAGCGGCGGAACCGGGGGGGACCCGCGCCCCGCGCCCCCCGCCCCGCCGGCTCCGCCGCGGCGCCGCCGCAGCCAATCAGCTGCCGCCTCACATCGCCGCGCACCGCTCTCCGCGTTGTAAGGCGCGGCGCCATTGGCCGCGCCGGGCCCCGGTGCGTGCCCTCGGATAACCCCCGGCCCCACAATAGCGCGGCGCGGCCGCTCCGCCGGTGCCACCGGGCGGCTCACGGGGGTCTCACCGGCAGCCCCCGGCCCCGCCGCGCCTCCGCTCCCTGCCCTGCCCTCCGCTCCGCACTCCGCGGCCCGCCTCGGCGGGGCGCAGCCCGCCGCGCTTGTGGGGGGGACACACAAATGGGGAGAGGGGGGGAGACGCGGCGCCCGGTGCGGCGGCGGCGGCGCGGGGGGCGGATGGAAGTTGTCGGAAAAGTCAGGAGTGAAACTTGTCTCACCAGGTCCTCGAAGCTCCGGCGGTGCTCCTTGCCCTGCCAGTCCAGGCGCCGCGGGATGAGCTGCGGGAGGGACACGGGGACGGGGGCGGCCGTCAGAGCCCGAGCGACCCCTCCCTGGGCAGCCCCACCGGTGCCCGCCCGCGCCCCCCGGGATGGAGCCCCCCGGCCGCCGGCCCCGGCCGCGCCGCGGGGCAGCCGCGCTCCCGCCGGGTGTCCCGGGCGGAGATGGGATGGGCTGGGTTAGACGGGGCAGGGCAAACGCCGACCCCGCCGTCCCGAGGGCTTCCCCCGTCCCGCCGGGGCAGGCGCCTCACCTGGTGCTCCTCCAGCTCCTCTACCAGTACCTGGGGACAGAGAGACACACAGACACACACAAAGGACGTGAGTCCGGCGGCCGCAGCGCAGCGGCTCCGCCGCCCCGTCCCGTCCAGTCCCGTCCCGTCGCCGCCCGCCCGGCCCGGCCGGAGCGCCGGCTCCGCGCTCACCTGGGCGGATTTCTTGCAGGGTCCGGACTGCAGGAACCGTGCGATCAGGTAGTAGAGCTCTGCGGAGAGGCCGGGGAGAGCGGGTTAGACACGGTTAGAACGGAGGGGGTGCGGAGCGCAGCCCCCGCCGCCAGCGATACCCACCGGCTTCCAGCTGGGTCGGGGCGGCCGCCGCCGCCATCCTCCTCGGGAGGGGGAGGGGAGGTGGCGGATGGCGCCCCGGGGGGACTCGGCTCCTAGTGCGGGCGCAACCCCATGCCGGAGCGGCGGTGCCGGTGCGGGGCGCGGGTCCCGGTGCGGGTGCGGGCGCGGGTCCCGCCCGGGCTCATCGCGGCTCCGCGGACCGAGCGCCGCCGGCACCGCCCGCACCGCCGCCGCCCGCCGCCGGGGGGCGCGCGCGGCAGCGCCGGGGGGGCGCAGGAAGGGCGGGGCGGTGACGCGCCGCGGGGGGGCGCCGCCACTTCCGGGCGGCGGCTGAGGGAGGAGGAGGAGGAAGGGGAGGAGAGGAAGGGCCGGGCCCGGCCGGCGGCGCCGGGATGTGCCCGCGGCGTTTGGCCGCCCTCACGGGGCAGCGGTAGGCCGGGCTGTGCTTCAGAGGGCCCGGTAGGCGTCACGGGGGAGCGCTAACGGCTCTGTCCGCGCGGCTTCGGCCCTCAGCGCTCCCCGGTTGTCGCTGCCTCAGCCCTCACGGTTTCAGCCCTCACGGCCGCAGTGTGCTCGTGGCCTCCTGCCTGGCAGCCCCTGGGAAATGGAGCCCCGTGTGTGCCTCAAGTGAAGCATTTTTAAGAGAATAAAGGGATTCAGGAATCTTAGGCGTCCTGGCAAGGGTAGGGGGATGGAGCCCACGCGTGTGGGGAAGGGACAGCCCTTCCGGGCTCCCGGTAAACAAGGCCTGGCTGCACGGAAGTGTCTCAGGTTGGGGTGACTAGGAGTTAAATAAAAGTGTTTGCTCCCAGTAACCAGGAAATTCCAGTATGATGGATGCAGCACCTGTTCTCCCCAAGGAGCAAAGGGGTCAGGGTTAGAGTAGATCGTTTTAATGGAAATAAATATTTTTTCCATGGGATGCATCCTGTCAGAGCTCCTGAAATCGGTGTCACTTCAGCGAGGAGTTGCTAAAACACATCAAGTGATTGTATTTTATCGAAAGTACCTGACATTTGGTGTTAGAGCTCCAGTGTAAAAACCACTGTCATTGTGAAATAGCCCAAGGACAGCATTTCCTCATGCCTAGAATACCAAGAGCTGAATCACTGTGAGTCGATGCTCTGGTAATATTAAGAATAAATTCAGTTTAAGCACTGGAGCAGTGGCTCAGAGTTCTGCTGTGCAGTCAGGATGCAGTCCTTCCTGCTGGCAGGTCCACGGGATGCCTCCAGGCACCCACCCAATCTGGGGAGAAGGATTTGGGGATTTGGCATTAAGCTGCTCCACGTAATTCACCTGTCCCTTCATCCACCCGTGGAAGGTGTTTTGTGCCAGGAGCTTGGATTAACTGTCTGATGTGTGGACCCTGATTCCTCTTCATCATCCTCCAAAGTTCTTGAGTTCTCAGTGACTGTTGATAGGATCACAGAACGGTTTGAAGTTCATCCAGTCCCACCCCCTGCCATGGGCAGGGACACCTTCTGCTACCCAATGTTGCTCCAAGCCCCATCCAGCCTGGCCTTGGGCACTTCCAGAGATCCAGGGGCAGCCACAGCTTCTCTGGGCACCCTGTGCCAAGGCCTCCCTGCCTTCACAATAAAAATTTATTCCAACCTAACCTTGCCCTCTGGCAGTGGGAAGCCATCTCCCTTGTCCCAAGTCCCTTTCCACTTTTCTGGTAGGCTCCAAACAATTACTCTTTGAATGTTTTCAGGGCAGGTTCATTGCTCAGCTCGTCAGTGGACAGAGAGGAGGTGCCACCTCACCAAGCTGCAAATTCCAGTGGCTTTCCAGTAGTAACAGCTCTCCCAGCAGGACCCCAGACGCTCCAAAACTGCAGAGCTTCCCAGCAGAGACAGGGTGAAGCTGCTGTTCTCAGAATGAGCTCCCAGCCAGGAGAAGCACACACTGATCCCACTCTCTGGAGGAGAATGTTTCTCCCACCTGTCTTCAGAGCCCAGAACTGCAAGCTCATATTTTCATGCATTAGGGGAAGGCAAAGGAGAAAACACAGATGATGTTTTAGAATATGCCTTGAAAGTACAATTCATCATCCTGAGCTGAATTGAATTCCACATCAAGGGCAAATCAGCCCCATAAATACTGGCCAGCACCATGTTCTGGTGCATTTCAGTGCCAGCAGCTCCACATCCGTGCTTGGGTGTGACTCCCACCTGCAGAGCTGCTTCCAGCCCTGGGATCCCAGCACAGCCAGGACATGGAGTGGTTGGAGCAAATCCAGTGGAGGCACCGAGATGGTCAGAGGGATAATGCAGCTCTGCTGCGAGGAAAGGCTGGGAGAATTGGGATTGTTCAGCCTGGAGAAGAGAAGCTCCAGAGTGACCCAACTGTGGCCTTCCAGTGCCTGAGGGGACCCCACAGGGAAGATGGAAGGAGACTACATGGGCCTGGAGTGCCAGGACAAGGGGAATGGCTTCCCACTGCCAGAGGGCAGGGTTAGATGGGATGTTGGGAAGGAATTCTGCCCTGTGACGGTGTAGAGGCCCTGACACAGAGTGCCCAGAGAAGCTGTGGCTGCCCCATCCATGCAAGTGTCCAAGGCTGGGTTGCATGGGACTTAGAGCAACCTGGGATAGTGGAAGGTGTCCCTGTCCATGGCAGGGGGTGGGGGTGGATGGGCTTTAATGCCCCTTCCAACCCAAACCATTCTGGGATTCCGTGATTCTGTATTTCTTTAGGAATGTGACATTTCCTTGGCACCTTTTGGTGCCTTACTGAATCTCTCCACTCGATATGCTTTTATTTGAGCTTGGGGGTGGTACAGGAGAAGCTACAGCACCACCAGGCAGGATTGTTCTGTTTGGACCTGTCTAGAGCCCATGGGAATTTCTGTGGTAACTAAAAGGGGCTTTCAAAAGCCTGGGATAAAAAATGCTCCCAAAGTAAGCTTGTCCATGCCTTGCTTGTGTCCTTCCTGCAGCATTCCAGCTGGGAGCCAGGCTGCTCCTTGCTTGGTGCTCAGTCCACAACCTCGGGTCAGTGCTTGCCCAGTGTTGCTCCACATCGTCACTCCCGAGCCTCTTCCCAGCGTTCCTGACTCCTTGGCACATCAGCTTCCTCTCTTTAATGCTCTCCCACAGTTGCTTCATTACTCCCCAAGCCTGCTACACGGGCTGTTATCAATACCTCTTCCCTCCTCTCACGGGTTTTCCCCTCCAGGAATCATGTCTGGTGAGTAATGTCCATCCTCTCTTTCCCCAGGAGCTCCATTTCCACCCCACACGTGGATTCTGCAGCTCCATGACTCATCTTTTTCCAGCTCCTCTGCATCCAAGCAGCAGCATGCTGGGGGTGATAGTAAATCTTGGAGTGAAAGCAGGATTTTATGGATATGCTGATTCATCTTTCCTCAGAGCAGAGCTCTGTTATGTAAATGCCAGCAGCAGCTGGTGGCAGGAGGAGGGAGAACAGACTAATGAGCCACAGAAGGATTCAGGAGCAGAGATCCTTTAAGGAAGAAGCTGGATTTTAGCTGTTTCTTTCCATACTGCTCTTTAAATAAAAAAAACTGAAAGTTTTTGAGGGATTTTAGGAGTGGGAACTGATGGCATTGAAATACCCATTGCATCTCCCCATTTGGTGTTTTAGGGAGTTTTGCTCTTCGTTGCAGTTAAAAGTAAAATTCAACCCCTGCTTAATTTGACTACAAAATTAAGTGAACTTTCCCACAATCAGCTTGTAAATCCAGGTAAAGGTGGTTTTATTTTATTTATGATTATTCTGCCCTCATGAGTCAAATCCTGTTTTAACCATGTGTGAAAACAGAACTGTGGTTTAGCATAACCAGAAGTGTACAGTTAAAATTAAAAAAAGAAAATTTAGACTGGAATTGTGTAGGTGTGGTAGATTTACATGCATTGTACCTTTCTAGTAAATGTAGATAAGGATGCACATGCCTGAATCCAGCTGGATTTAAACACTGGAATAAATGATGCATTTTAGTCTTTTTTTTTTATATATATATATTTTTTTTTTCTGTGTACGTTTCATAGAACAGCCCTGAGTTGGAAGCAACCCACAAGGATTTTTATGGACATTCTTCTCATCTTGGGCCTTTCATATGGAGCTAAATGGATAGTAGTTAAATTAAATCAAAATTTTGTTTAGCTGACTCAAAAATAAGAGCTGTTCAGGAGAAATTCAGGAGTTGGTGCCTTGTGCTACACAGTTATGAGTAAATGAATATTGAAATGTCCAAGCTTATTGTAAGACCTTTACATAGAGAAACCTCAAATTTTGATATCATAGTTTATTTTTAAAAATAAATGAGCTGCAAAATAATTAGCACTAATTACAGTTGCTGGAGTGCAGGGCTTGTGTGTGCAAACCAACATCCTGTTTTTGCCGGACAAACCTCCAAGTTCCCACTCCTTCCTGTGGTTCTCTTCCTCGACAAGAGCTGTTAAATATTATCTAAATAGCTGTTAGATATTACACAAGATCTGCTCTAGGATTTTTGCTATTTTTAATAATTTAATATTTATTTCTCTGGTGCATCATTCCAGTCGTTCCTCTAGATGGTGCCAGACATCCAAGAGTTGGGTGCAACATTATCCCATAGGAAGGCGATGGAGGAGCAGCCAGGACGCGCTCGCCTTTGTTTCTAAATTCTATCTTGCAGCAGTTCATCTTGTTAATAAATTACTTGTTCTGGTGATGTAACTATGATATTTTTTTTTTCCTTTTGAGAATCCTAAAATCCATTCAGCCTAAATTCCACCTGCCTGGAGCAGTGTCATCCCTTGCTCCGTGGACTGATCCATATCTGGTATTCCTTATGGCAGCCATTAGCTGCTGTGAGCTGTGATCAGTGTGTGCAGCCCTGCTGCGACTGGGGGAACTTAATCTGCCTGCTTTGCAAAGCATTGAAATTTCTGACTAGTATCTAAACATTTCTCTTTGTCTCTATTTCACACAGAAATGCCAAATCCAGCTGTGGATGGAACACCCAGGAAAAGGGGTGGCTCTGTGTCCCTGTGTGCTCCGGGCTATTCCAGCAGAAGGACTGGGAGAACGATATCAGTGTCAGGTCCATCTGCAGCATCTCTGAATTCCAACTTTGTACCTCTCAGTGCCTGCAACCCCCAAGTTTTATAGCAGCAAATGACTACTGGGTGTAAGTGACCAGGTGGGTTTTGTTATTGCTGGTGTCACTACTGCACTCAGCACAGTCCCTGTCTAAGGGCCTGATCCTGACCTGTGTCCCCTGGTTGGGATCAAGTCCCCTGTTCCCAACCTTTTCCAGCTTCTCCTGACATGCCCATGGCTGCTACCAGTCCCTGCACAAGAATCTCGCCCCAAAAATGCCACCTGATATCACTACTGGGCTACTTCAGCAACTTCAAACCATGCTGAATATTTGTAAATAATCCTTTGATGTTTTGTTTGTGATTTTTTTAGGGTTTTGCATTTTTGGCTTCTCCTGGAAGCCTGGGCACAAAGCATCTGACTGCAGCTGGGAATTCATCACCTCTCTCCCTGGATATGCAAATTTTACTGGAACTGCCTCAGCTAATAAACAATTTTAATAAAATTTCATCCCTCTGTATCCAATACCCTTTTCCATAACGTTTTGAGGATTTTTATATTACATTTTTCATTTTACAAAAATATTGGAAATATTGGGAAGGAGTGCAATAGGGTTTTTTAGAGTGCTGCTTTTATCGAAATAAAAGGTTATAAAGCAGTTTGATTTATTTTTTTATTTATTAATATCCCTAACAAGCAGACATTGTAAATAAGCTCATTAATACTCTTTAAATACAGTCTTATAAAATTAATTCTCAATTACTGCATGAGGTGATGGATTAGAAAACTGTCCTGTGTAAATTTACTCACAGGAGTGTGAGTTTAGAATGAACTTTCTATGTCACTGACCATGGAATCTGAGGATGGGATTTTGGAACATTTCTCAAAGTGCTGTCCCATACAGGAATTCTCTTCCCATTATTTTTATTTATTGATTATAAAGCCTTTTCTCATGATCTGTAGTTTGAGATTACATATCCCTCTTATCCCTCATAAGGAAAGCTTTAACATGGAAGCTTCCTCTGCAGTAAAGTGACCCCATTTCATTTAATTCTTGCACTTCCATCATTTAATGGACATTGACATTCTCCTGTAGCCATCCAGCTTTGTATCTCTGGGAAAAGTCTTTCCCCTGATATCCTCAGGAGTTCAGAATCTTTTTTTATTTTTGGCCTCAAATTATTAGGGCTTGAGACATAACCACATGTTTTGTGTGTCATCTTGATTTGGAGAGGCCTTACATTCTTGGAAGGTCCTTTAAAGTTTTTTGGGGTTTTTTTTGATTGAAGGACTAATTTAATTTAATTTCCAGTGAGGTGGTTTTCAACACCTGCAAATTCTTGCCCTGTTGGCTGTTCCCTTTAAGTTCTCTTACACCAATAAAAGTCTGTTTAGAGTTTCTGAAGTCCCCAAGTTCTGTGTGGTTGAGTTTCTGCTGGAAAACCACCCCAGGTGGGAGGTGAAGCTGTGAAGGCACATGGTATCCATAAGAACAGAACTGTGACATCAGTCCTTATTTCCCTGAGGTTTTCTTTGTTATCCCTGGATTATAATGGCACAAGTGTGGAATATGACTGTAGAGGTGGAAAAAAGCTTCTTCTGTTCGTTCTCCACGTTGTCCTTGAAGTCTGAAGGATCTGCCATTTCCTATTGAGGAGCCTCATCTCTCCATGTGTTTCCTGATGTCTCTGGACACTTTTCTCCCTCCTGCTCTGTGCAGTCCGTAGCTCTCAGTCGTTTAATTTTTTTCCCTCTCTTTGCTCCTTCCTCTTGCTTGCTGACTAAGATTGTTACAGGTAACACCTTTCAGACCTTGACTTTCTTCCAAACCCATCTTCCACCTTGACTTTGCTGCTGCCTATGACTGCCAGACCCCATGCCCTTGTATTTTGTCCTTGTTGACTCCAGGATCCCTCTGGAATGGCCAAGGAACATTTCCATGGGAGACACAGTGCATCCTGAAATGGGAGAGAGAAAAATCCCCTTGAGAGTGCCACTGTCCTCTTAGTGCAGGTTTCAAGCAGATTTTGGAGAAATCCTGGGAGCTGAGAACTGAGGGAAGGATTCAGGGAAACCAAAGGCTCGTGAGATGCATCAAGACTCTTGAAAGCGTAGTTTTGTCTTTCTTGAACATGTGGAGAGCAAACCAGGCTGCAGCACTCCTTCCCTGTCAGGAGAAGGACAAAATCTGTTGTTAGAATTTCCCTCCAGCAGCACTTCCATCCCTCCCACCCAAGGGCACTTGGGGTGAGCCATGACCATATTTGGGGGGACTCATCCCCAGGGATGTGGGTGTCCCAGAGCTGGGCACTCTGCTTTGTTCCCTGCAGCCCCACCCACCCCATCAGCCAAAAATGACATTTTTCACCAACTGCTAAAGCCTCCTGCTTCTGCTTTAATGTTAATTTTGGGAGTTTTCAACTGGACCCTAGCTACCTCATTCAGGAATCCACGTGGCAGCCCCGAGGTCCAGCCCCATCTGGGTGACAGAGTTTGTTTCCTTTGGCAATATGGATTTAACAACCAGGCTTCCAGCCTGGGAATCATTTCCCTCAAATAGCTGCAAAATAAATGATGGGACATTTTCCAGTGCAGTGCTGCAACCACCCAAAACACCACTGTAAAATTCACAGAGGCCAGGCAGAGTGAGTGCATTAAGCAAGGCTTAGGAGGATTATGGAATTAAATTGGGAGCCCCTTCTACCCTTCCCCCAGTCAAAGACATTCAGAAATAAATATTTTTAAAGGGTGTTAAAACAATGGCTTTGGCTAAAACCTCTGCAAGCAAAGAGGGTTTTTGTGAAGGCTGTTGCTGAGCTGTGGACTGGTGTGTTCAGGCTGTGTTCCGGAGGGTTTCCATCAGGGAGCTGGCGTCATCTCAGGCTGGAATGGCTCTGGTTCTCAAATTCCCTCTGCAGAGAAGTCACCAGTCCCTCGTACAGCACAGGGCCTTGCCTCCTCTCCTCCTCTCCTCCTCTCCTCTGGATCCTGCTGCTGCCTCTGGCATTCTTTATCCTCTGCCTGCAATTCCCAGCTCTGTCCTTTTCCCGGCATCAGGAGCATCCTGCTCCTTTCAGGGAGAGTTTGTGCAATGAAAGCTTTGCTTTAATCTGGGCTGGATTTAGCCAGATGCTGCAATCCTGGGAAAGCTTACACAGGGCTCAGGTCTGCCATGGGAATGTAGCCTTGATTTGATAATCTGGAAATGGTTTATTTAAAATTAAAAACATAGAAAACCTTTCAAACAGTTTTTTGGGGTTTTTTTTTTGAGCTCCTTTTGGCCTTGCAGTAGAACAGGCACCCAGGCTCTCAGTCACATATAGGGCCTGGCACCCATGAAATAGGTTTTAGGCTAATGAGGCACATTCTGCCTGCTTTAATTAAATAAATTAGAGCCAAAAAAAAAAAAAATCATTTCCCATTAAAAGACTTTAGCATCATAATAACACAAAGAATTTAAATATTTACTATAAAAATACATAAAATTAAATATTAATTTCCAATATACTTACAGAGCCCATTTGACCCAAATGACCCTACAAATATTCCCTTAACAGGGAATCCCTTTTCTTTGCATCTTTATTAACAAAATTACAGATCTTTGTGTATAAAATCTTCATTTTAGTGTAGTTTTCTTGGTAATAAAATCCATGAGACACCTGTGTAGCAAGAAATAGGATTTACAGAGATTTTAAGCTTTTGGGGGCAAATATGGTTTATTCTTGCCCATGTCAGGGCCTGGGGTAGATGAGCACAATGACACCAGAGGCAGTTGAGTGTATTAATTAGTGCTAATTAATAAAGCTACCGGGTTCTTTGACCTTCTCACAGCCCACTGCACACATAGAGGAGGAAGGATAAGGAATGAGCAGAGGAAAATCCTTTTGGTTGGAGTTTTTCCATGCCTGCCTCTCCTCTCTGACTCCCCCAGGTCCTGTGTCCCCCTGTCCCTTAGCAGGGAGTGGTGGCAGCTCATCCTGCAGGCTGGAATTCCAGGGAATCCTGCAGGCTGGAATTCCAGGGAATCCTGCAGGCTGCAATTCCAGGGAATCCTGCAGCCCTGTGGGAAGCTGCTGGCCAGGAAGGGGCTGGAGATGCTGACTGCTTGTGACAAGTCTTGCCTGGGAGAAAACCAACACGGCAGCGGTTGGAAACCTGAATGATGTCACTATGGCAACAAAATAACTCACCTTAAAATAAAATGTGCATTGGAAGCAACCTCATGTACTCAGGGAATACAGGGAGGAAGCTCTTATTTTTTATATGTATATATTTTTATGTTTATGTATTTTTTAATATTTTCACAGCTTGCTGAATTCCTGCCCTGTTACCAGCTGCTGATGCAGATGTAAGAAATATTTTAATTTCTCTCAACAATTAAATTAAACAGGACATGACCAGACCTCCAGAAGAAGGAAAAATGTGTTTGCTGGAGGGCAGGAAAACCCTGGAGCTGCTGATAACTACAAGTCATTCTGATGGGTGGGAGATCCACACTATCAGTATCTGCAGCTCACAGCAGTGATGTGGGACTAATTATTGCTAATATTTTTCATGGACATAGTCCCTCTCTTTCCAAATACAGAAATTCCATTTCCATATTTGTTCTTTACAGACAGGTTTGTTTTCCCCTTGATTCTGCATTAAATAACAGCAACAGGTGGAGATTTCTCTGGAAATTCCAAACTCTCCCTGGCTTTTTTTATCCCATGAGCATCCCAGCCAGGTTGGAGCTGTGGCGATTCAGCCAGAGGGCTGCTGGTGGGGTGTTCCCAAATTTTTTTCATAATCCTGGATGCTTTTCAGATTGGAGTGGGTGACTTTGACCACTTCTGTGTGAGGGAAGCTGGGATGGGAAGTGCAGTGGTGGGGGTGAGGCCAGGAGCTCTGGGGATCCAACCCTGGCAGCAAAGAGGAATTGTCCTCTCCGGCTCTTCTCTGGACTTCCAGTTCTTGTGGTGCAAAAATAAATACATTTACAGAATAACTGCATATAATATAATATAATATAATATAATATAATATAATATAATATAATATAATATAATATAATATAATATAATATAATATAATATAATATAATATAATATAATATAATATAATATAATATAATATAATATAATATAATATAATATAATATAATATAATATAATATAATATAATATAATATAATATAATATAATATACTAATGTAATGTAATGTAATGTAATGTAATGTAATGTAATGTAATGTAATGTAATGTAATGTAATATAATATAATATAATATAAGATTAGGATAGGATAGGATAGGATAGGATATGATATGATATGATATGATATGATATGATATGATATGATATGATATGATATGATATGGTATAATATGGTATAAAATAATATATAATTCTATATTATAATTATATAATATCATAATTTTCCTCTCTATATCCCATTTTCTGAGAGCTTTGCACCCAGTTCAGTGGCAGTGAAAATAATTTACTTCCAACTGCTTCTTTTATAGGAAACCTGAAAAAGCGGATTAAAAGGAATGAGGTTATGAAGCATGAAAAAAATACTCCAAAACAACTGTGGAGGAGGGAAGAGGAGTTTCTACTCTGACCCCGGGTGAGTTCATGGGGGTACTTTGGACACTTAGGTGCAAATAATGCTAGGAATTGAGAATGTCACGTTTTGACGTCATCAGCACAGCATTCAGACACTGCAAGGAAAAGTAATCACTTGTCTTACCTCCGGGGCTAATTAGTCCCTCGGTCCGCGCGGAGGTCGGGGCCGGAGCTCTCCCTCCCTCCCTCTCCTGGTCCCTCTCCCGTTCCCATTCCCATTCCCGCTCCCATTCCCGCTCCCATTCCCGCTCCCTCTCTGTGCCATCTGCCATTGCCATCACACTGGCTTTGCTTTTCACGGCTGGCTGGGCGCGCTGGATGCGCGGGGTAATGGGGCTATTTCTCCTCCTTGGTCTTTGGAAAGGAAATAATCATAATAATAATAAACCCAGGAGTGGCTGGAACTGCTGCACGCTGCCCTTTTCCTTCCCACTTTTGAAGCTTTTTAGTATTCACTTTTCCAGCAATTGGGAGGAAAATTGCCCTGAAAGAAAGAAAGAAACAAAAATCTGTGTTATTTTTTAAACACCAGCCCCCCCCTCCCCGGCTCCCCGCACCACACAGGCAGCTGCAGAGAATTTCTCTTCCAAAGGGATGATGTAATGGGCTTTGTCAGCCAATGCTGGAATGAATAAAACCCGAGACCCGAAATTCATCCAGGCTTTTGATGAAACTCTTGAGGTTCCTGGAGCAAGTGGTCGCCATAATAGTCTGGAACTGCTGGTTTTGTCATGCAGCTCTTGAGAGAAGTGAGATGGAGAGTCGAGGGCTGCACCCAGGGAATAACCAAAACCAGCAGGTTTTGTCCCTGCTGAGGGAAAGGGGCATCTGGGGACACTCAGTGAAGGGGTGCACAGCCCATAGTGCCAGCACATCAACTCAAGCTTCAGCATCCACCACAGAATCACTCCTGATCTGAACATGGCACATTTTACAGAGATGTATGTGTATATTTAATATTATGTATATTGTATATAAAGCAATATTGAATATTTGGCTGCCCCATCCCTAGGAGTGTCCAAGGCTGGGTTGGACGGGGCTTGGAGCAACCTTGGGGCTAGTGGAAGGTGTCCCTGCTCATGGCAGGGGGTGAACTTGATGGGTTTATGGTCCCTTCCTACCCGAAGCAGTCAGGGATTCCGTGTTACGTAAAAAACACAAATATATGAACTATACACAAGTATCACTAATTCCTGCTGCAGCAATGGGCACGCTGTTGCTCTCCCAAGAATGTCATGGGCTGCTGAGTCCAGGAGACCTCTCCTCTCACTCTGTGACTTACCCCAAGTCTCTGTCCAGCTTTCTTTGGAGCCCTTTTAGGCACTGGAAGAGGCTCTAAGGTCTCCCAGAGCTTTCTCCAGAACAGCCCCATCTCTCCCACCTGTCCTCATAGGACACACTGCACTGTTTCTGTCACCCCTGTCTGCAGCGAAGAGGCTGTGGGGCAGGCAGGGAGAGCTCCTGGCATTCCAGAAGATTCCAGTTCTTGCAGGAACATCACACTTCCAGGTGATGGAGGAGAATCATGGATACATTTTGCTTTGGCTGCTCTCTGGTCCCTGCTTGTGCATCCTTGCCAGGCATCCCTGCACTGGGCGCAGAGCTGGTGCCACCATCCCCCAGCCCTGTGGAGCCACCACCACAGTGCCACATCCTCTGACACCCCGTGGTACCTGCTCCCGGTCCCTGGGCTGTCACCCCAGCAGCTGATAACCCCAAATTCCCAGGGATGACCTCGCTGTGAGTGCAGAGCAGCTGTGCAGAACTCCCCAGCCAGGACCACCACCTAGATGCCACAGCACCAAGTGAAGCCAAGAAGATTTAGAGCCAAGATGTGCCAAAAAGGGAGTTGGAAATAATTCCCGAGCCCAAATGGAGCAGCACTGGGAGCTGGGGATCTGGACCCCTTCTCCAGCCCGGTGGTGGCCATCACCTCACCTTCAGCACCAGCAACACCCAGCAAACCTGGGCACTGGGTTGGCATTTGGGGAGGGAGTTTTCCCAAGAACAGGATGATACGGTACCTTTTTTCTCCTGGGAAACATTCAGCTCCAATGGAGAATATTTCTGGGAACACACCTGCACAGGGGGAGGTGCACTGCCCAGGTCAGTGGCACAGGGCTTGGCAGGGACACAGGTGGTGCCTTGGGTACATCCACGCCGTGTGCCTGTCCCCACCAACAGCCACATACAGTGAACAGCAGAGAAGTTTTCCTCTTTCAAAGTGCCCAGAATGTGGCTGGAGGGGCTCAGACTGAAGGGGAAGTACAGACCTGTGTCCTCTCACCCCCCAGCTCCTTACAGAGGTCCGGGGCCAGGGACAGCTCCAGGTTCCCTCCCACCACCACGGGTTGCTGTCCCTGACACGTCTTTGTGTCCCACAGCCCCACCGGATCATCTTGCAAGAATTTGTGTAATCACTTCCTAAGCCATTATGATTCCTGGGCTCCATTTGGGCAATGAGTTACATGGTTTAATTACTCATTGTGTGAAATATGCTCGTTTTGCATCTGCCACTCTGTAATTTCATTTGGGGCCTCTTTGTTTGCTTTGTGTCCCCACACAAGAGCCACCGACCTCTATTCGCTGTCCCTGTGCCGCTGCACCAGGGAATACAAATCCCACATCCTTTTTCCCCCTGTCTGTCAATTCTTTGCAAGACAAAAAGGGTAATTTATTTAATTGTTGCTGATATAATGTCCTAAAAGTCTCCTTTTCCCTCCAACAGTTAATTACACTTGTTAATTATTTTAATTATTCCCAGGGTAATGCTGTAGGTATAGAGGAGCACAGGAGTAAACACGGTGCAGAGAAGTCAGGGTTTACTCCAAGATCTCAGTTGATAACCAGGCTGTAACCACATGGGTGGTAAAACCACAGCAGGGAACGTTTGGCCTGGATTTGGAACTTTCTGCTGGCAGCATGGGAGGATTTATAGGAAGAGAAGGCAGATCCTGCAGGATTGCCCTCGGATGAGGCCCAGAGAGATGATTCCAGCCTTTCCCTCCTGACAGAGCTGGCACAAAATGGAACCGTCACTTGGGGAAATACTTCTGGTCAGCACCTCTGTGACGGTGGATTTATATGAAGGAAGAAACCAAACCAAGCAAAATTCCATCCCGCTGGAAAGCTGAGTCTCAGCCTGAGGCTTAGGGACAGCCCACCTCCAACTCCAGCCATATTCTGAGGGGAGCAGCAGCCCTGAATCCATGAAACAGCAAAACTCCTTTGTGGTCCCACAGAGCAGCCTCTGGAGCCAGGGTGAAACCCGAGAGCTGCTGCAATCCAAACCTTCTCCACAGCTCCTTTTATCTTCCTGGGGGGAAAACAAACAGCGCAGAAGCTGGAGCTTTGAGCTTTGTGGCTGGGATGTCGCACATCTGGTTTGAGCTCCAAGAAATGCACTTCCACACACCCCCCCTCCCCGCCCCCCGCCAAATTGTTCACGTTAAACAAACAAAACCCCAGAGATTTTGTGAGATTTTGGCTCTGGGATAACTTTGGAGCAGCTTTTACTGAGAATTCCAGGCTTGTGCTGCACTTCACCCCCAGTGGAAGCAGCACACCTCACCTGCCCAGAGGGAGGCACTTCCAAAGGGCAACAGCCGTGCCCTGGAACCCCCTGGCTGGGAATGCTGCAGGGAGTGGAGGGGGAGTGATCTTGACCACTCTGTGTTTAGGTTTCAATCCAGCATTTTCCCCTGTGTTATTTATGCTTCCTCCCCCCCCCTTTTAAGAACGTCTGGAATTGTTTAAGATGTGTCCGATTGTATTAAGTTGTCTTTGAGAGTTTTATGGTGTCAATTGGATTCCCACTCTTAGGAACAGAGCTTTCCAATTTGCTGTTTTTCCCTTTTCTATCACATCAGCACCAACTTCCTTTCAGTGCTTTCAGGTGTTACCTCAGCCTGAAGTTCACACAAATCCCTGGACATCACTTCCATTTGACACTGTTCCAGTGGTTCCCTGCAGGGGGAAGGGAGTGTCATTCCTCTGGGATCCTGTCCCACTGTCCCCTCCCTGTCGTCTTCCAGCAGAGGTGGATAAATCAGGGCAGATCATGAAATCCTGGAATCACGGAATGGTTTGGGTGGGGAGGGACCTTAGAGCCCATCTCATTCTATCCCCTGCCATGGGCAGGGACACCTTCCACTCTCCCAGGTCTCTCCAAGCCCCGTCCAGCCTGGCCTTGGACACTTCCAGGGATGGGGCAGCCACAGCTTCTCTGTGCCAGGGCCTCCCCACCCTCATGGGGAAGAATTTCTTCCCAATATTCAAATTAAATCTATCCTCTTTCATCTTAAAGCCCTTTCCCTTTGTCCTTCCCTCCATCCTTTGTTCAAAAGCTCTCTCCAGCTCTCCT